CTGGGTCTGGAGAACAGTGTTGCCAATAAGGCGCTTTTCAACTTCGTTTTGCGTCATTGCTATTCTTTGTAAATAATTGCGCTTTTTTTTCTTTTTATAGTCTATCGAGTGTATTGCATAACTGACTCTGTTGATTGATAATATTAATCTAATATATTAAATTCTCCTGTCCCTGTCACGGTGTTTGACGCCAAACTCCTCCGAACGGCTTGGCCGATTCTTATGAAGTTTTTTATATTCGGTAGGTCTGAGAATCAGTCGTAAACGATTTTTCAAATTGAAAATTCAAGATGGCGGATATCCAATATGGCGGACGAGTTTTGTGATCCGATTCTATTCAAAATTGGCATCTGAGGGTTTTCGGGGTCGGATATTATGATTTCTTCGTCAAAATGAGGAGATTCAGAATGGCGGATACAATATGGCAGACGAGTTGTTCAAATATGATCCGATTCTGTTCAAAATTGGTATCTAGGGGGTTCTCGGAGTCGGAGATAATAATTATCTCTTCAAAATCTGGAAATCCAAGATGGCGGATCCAATATGGCGGACAAGTTTCGAAATTATAGACCAATTGTATTCAAAATTGGTATCTGGGATTTGCGGGTCACAGATTCAGAATCTTTCGTCAAAATTGGGAAATTCAAGATGGCGATTTCAATATGGCGGACGAGTTTTGTAATTATCGACCAATTCTATTCAAAATTGGTATTTGGGGGTTTTCGGGGTCGGAGATTATGATCATTTGGTCAAAATTGAGAAATTCTCATTTCCCATATCCCAATCGTAACGTAACCACCACTTTTTTTCCAATTTATAGAAAATAGTTTTGATTATCTTGAATTCCCATTTAAAAAACTGGTGTTGAAGTAAGTATACATAATCCACTTATGACAGGTAATATTCATAATTAAAAATTAGTGTAGGCATAAACAAAATATTGTCTTTTGTAGGCCCATATGAAACTCAAAATATTATTTTTTATGAAAGCAAGTAATCAATCCTTTCCTCCTTTTCTCATTTGCTAAGAATTAGAAATCTGGTGCTACTTAGTTTCAACCAGTGACCAGTGATGCCAGGTCTAAGGAAATGTCCCTAGTTCAGAGGACAAATTACTAAATTCATTTTTACTAGGGAAATAAGGGAAAATTCTTCGGATTTTTTCATCTCTTTCGTGACAATTCTATTTAATACTTTCACACTTACCGAAATAGGATATTTCAAAAAACAAAAACAGTTTTGTTCTATAAAAATTGTATTTATAGACGGATTGACCGTTACCCACGTGAACATAAGGCCAGATGTCTCTGACGTAACCAGCTCGTTCCCTCAGCTAACGTGACCGTAGGACCTGTGCCCGGGGCCCGGGTGGACGTCGAGTTAGTCCGTTACCTACATGAACGATTGACCCCTACTGATATATACAAAAACATCAGTGTTATAATATAAAATAGCAGAACGCTGGCAGCACTGCAACTGGCGGAGCGGGCGGTGTCGCGGTATCAGGCAGTGTGTGTGATTCCCCGAACGATTCCAACTGGACTTCAAAGAAAAATCGATAAGTGACCAGTGTTGCCAGTATGGGCGATTTCTCGACAATTGGGCTATCTCTGAACCTATTTTGGCGACCAAAAATAGAACTTGGCGACAGGCGACTTATTGAGACGACTTGGGCTTCTGGGAGTGAGATGAGTACCGCGAGTCCAAATTCAATGGCTTTGTGGCTTTACCATCCAAGTAGATTTGAGTCATCCGCACAGAGCGAGATCCATTCGACGTTAGCAGGTGTTTTGTTTATATTACGTTTCTACACTCTACAGTATCATTCATAAAGTTGGCATCAAATGGGAAAAATTTTTGATAATAATATATCATAAACATCTAATCTATTTTCATCAAGTAAATGTGTCTGGAATGTTTCAAACGCACAGAGAAAACATGTCAACAAAAACTTCAAAATCTCCGGGAAGTTCAAATGATTATAAGAACCAAAGGTACAATGATACGTATAACTTCTTCATTCTCTGGCCACAGAACTCTGAAATAAAAAGAGAAAATCCCTTTCAACGGGAACCTATATAGATCCGGATCCAATATGCAAATTGGATCCGCCATCTTTATCAATTTCCTAATTTTGTCAAAAGAATCATAAACTCCGATACCGAAAACCCCCAAATACCAATTTTGAATAGAATAGGGTTATAATTACGAAACTCTACCATATTGGATCCGTCATCTTCATTTTTCTGATTTTGACAAAAGAATCATATTCCCCGATACCGAAAACCCTCAGATACCTACCAATTTTGAAAATAATCGGATCATGTACAAAACTCGTCCGCCATATTGGATCCGATATCTTTATTTTTTAAATGTTGACAAAAGAATCATAAACTACCCCGAAACCCCCCAAATACCAATTTTGAATAGAATAGGCTTATTTTTTTATCGCTTGGAGCGCACGAGATGGAATCCCTATAATGTTCAAAAAAATGTTCAAAGAACATCGTGCGTTCCTAGGGAGGACAGGGATAGGAGGTAGGTATTGGAATTTTTTTTATAATTATTACAAACACCATATTGGATCCGTCATCTTTATTTTTCTGATTTTGACAAAAGAATCATATTCTCCGATACCGAAAACCCCCAGATACCAATTTTGAAAATTTTCGGATCACAAGTACAAAACTCGTCCGCCATATTGGATCCACCATATTTAATTTCCTTATTCTGACGAAAGTATCATTATTTTCAATCCCGAAAACCACCCGATACAGAGATTTTGAATAGAATCGGATCATAATTAGAAAACTCGTCCGCCTTATTGGATCCGCCATCTTGAGTTTCCAATTTAAAAAATAGTTTACGATCGATTATCAGACCTACCAAAAATGCACAAAAATTTTCATAATCGGTCAAGCCGTTTCGGAGGAGTTTGGCCACAAACACTGTGACAGAGAATCAATAATATATGTTAGATATAAACTATCGTATGACTTTCATTCTATGGCGAGGTCATCACAGGATGGGAATACTAGGTGGTAAATATAATAATGTGAAATATATCATTCCACTTATGAATTTCTAGTACTAATTTGGCGACGTACTCAGATTAAATACTGGCAACACTGTAGGTGACTTTGTACCTGTTCCATTAGTACAGCCACAAATATTATTCAGAGACATCTATTGATGAGGTTCCCTATTGATTGAATTAAATGTATCTAAAGGATTCTGTAGAAATAATACATGAAACTATAATTATGGCGCCACTAGACGGCTGTGATATATTTATAGTTTCACTGGTGTCTGTGGGCAAACTATTTCACTGTGATGCGCGCCCTTAAACGGAGAATCAAAAGAAGAGGCATATGCCCTACCATTTAAGAAAGTATACTCAGGAAATATTAAGTGTTCGTGATAAACTGCAAAAATGATTCCCAACATGAATATATACAGCACACATAACATAATGAGCACATTAGTTTGAATACCTACATGAAATTTTTCATCATTTCTCAAACATAATGCTTAGTCTGAAATAAAAATTCATTTATCGACAGGTACTGCCTAAGAACAGTCCCATTTGGTAAAACGTATTAAACTTTAAGAAAAATTTGCTCACTGCCTGACAAAGATTATGCTGTTGTTGAAAAATCAAAAACTCGAAAATTATCATCATGATTTGGATATAAAATGTAGAGTTGAAAATACGTATGATATTCCAATGTTCTCAATATAACCTAAAAAACAACAAATGTCAAAAATCTGTGTTTATCCCCAGAAATGAATAAAGATGGAACTATATAACTGTTTCACAAACACTTTAGAGGGAGAGGAGACGAGGATCTGTCCGTACCCTGTTAAGATGACAAATACGTCAATTTACATCAAGGGACCCTAGTTCACTGGTTTCATGTGCGATATTCATAAAGTTTTTAAATATTTCAAAACATTTTGATGAATACTGTATTTTTAATATCTACTTGCTATATTTATCAGTATCCTTCCTAACTTTATGCAGCGGGGTACAAAACAATTCCCTCTCGGTTTTGTATTTATTCACAATTTCACCTGGAATTTCAATAAAGCGTTTATTTCATGAAAACCAAGTCGAATTTCCTTTTAGTTTGTTTGACAACTGAACTCCTAGACTATACTTAATATATCAACATTTTGGTAATTCTGAACAATGAATAAACACGGTGAATGGCATTGCTCCATCAATGGAAATTAAAATATGAATTGATACAAGATATTGATTCTCAGTGTTAGGAGTGGAAAACATATTATAATAGATACCTAGGGTGAGTCTGCTATTATGTAGTGTAGTGCTTGATCACTTCTCACCCTAGATGTATAACATACTATTTGAACTTTCAAGAAAATATTTCTATACATTATTTTATTGAAATGAATGCAGATATTCCATGGTCCATGGAGATCATTCAGAAAAATATTGGTTTGACTGCTATACTTGGGGGATCCAGTGTTGGATACAGAATCTGAGGCAGACTTTTCCAGCAGTTTCGTTTGCCTCAAGAGGATCTTTTCTATGAGTACTGTATTTCATTTCCTATATCCAGACGATAAATAAATCTGGAATACTCAACCGGAAGTATAACAGTATATTCTCCACTGACACTATACGCACACAACATTTACATTAAAAATTGTTGTTTTCAACTATGTTGTTGAAGGTTCAACTATGATTCTACAAAAATCAAGATTAATTTGACAGAAAATATCGAATCAGTTTCGAGATATTTGTCAATCTGTGATGGTCAGTCATTGACTTGAATACGTATTTACTTGAATACATGCACCAATCAACAAGAGCCTTGTGAACGGCATGACGTCAAATCTGTATCATATATCCTGTTGAGTTAACAATCCTTGGGCGAAGCCTAGGGTCCCTTGATGCAAATTGACGTATTTGTCATCTTATTAAAGCCAACAATGAGCGCCGCGCATATGATGAAACACCCTTATTCACTCACCTCTTCCCTTCTCGTCCTCAACGACAGCCGATCCTCGCTCATGACCAGCGCGAACATCACCAACGAAATGAACTGACTGGTGTAGGCCTTCGTCGAGGCCACCCCGATCTCGGGACCGGCGTTGATGTGCACCCCGCAGTGGGACTCGCGCGAAATGGAGCTGCCCACCGTGTTGGTGATGCCGATGATGAGGGCACCGCGGGCCTTGCAGTAGCGCAGCGCCATCAGGGTGTCGGCCGTCTCGCCGGACTGCGAGATGAAGAAGCAGACGTCGTCCCGGAACACGGGGGTGGTGCGGTCTGGGAACAAGTCATTAGTCACGTTCGGTATTTACATCGCAGATTAGAGCAGATTCTAGTCACGTGGTCACAGATAGATCGGAGCAATCGGCAATGAACGAACGAAGTGGACATTTTGTTGACAGTGTGACGGTAACCTCTAACGACCCCAAAGACAATTTTGTTTACTTGAGGACTTTGTGGGTTTTGGAAGCCTTTTGGACTATTATTTTATTTATTTTTGGTTAGATTCATTGTGAATAATGAAAAATCAGTATGATTTTAAAGAAAAAAATGCCAGTAACGTGTGTTGTGATGGATTGTGGAAGCCGTGTATATAGGGACCATTTGCTGTTTTGTCACATTCCTAATGTGATACTCTGAAAAAATCTGTACATTACCCACAGATGAAGGATCTATCAAGAAAAATAAGGGAAATGTGGATGGCAGTTATCAAGAGAAATGATCAGCGACATAATCAATCATAATAAACCAGAGAATATGTGACAGACGCTATTTCCATAACAGGTACCTAAGAAAAAGGATTTTAATATTATTTATATATGTACCTCCTACCTACTCTAGAACTGATGAATTGAGTGTTATATCCTATAGAAAACTTATCTTTTCTTCATTTTGATAAAATAAACCAATACTCTACATTTGATGGTCCTACATAGTTTGGAAACATCATGTTTTTAATACACACATAATTCATTCACCTTGTAGGGGAACCTAGTGCCTGAAACATGAAAATATCCATGCTGTACAATGCACAAAAAATGCAGCGAGAGAAAAAGGAACCCGGTTGGTACATTATGATTTAAAAGTAAGTACCTCCTAATACGTACCTACCATATAGTTTTCAATTTGAAATTTGGTAATTTCTCTGATTTCTCATCGGAATTCCTTCTGCAATAAAAGCTAAAAGGAACATTCGTGACATTTCTAAAAGAATGCAAGACGATTGGATTCATGCAATCAAACAGGAGAGAAGAATGGTCTGACATGCTGACGAAATATGATCGTGTGTGTTGTAGACATTTTCAATCTATTAGCAGTATTAGCTTCTAGTGCAGAAGTGGCAGAAGGAATTTTGATAAGAAATGACGAAATTTCATTATGAAAACTATATGAGATTACTTTACCTGTAACATCATATTTTTTCGTCTCTCGCTGCATTTTTTGTGTATTGTACAATAGCACAATAAGAAGGAATGCTTGAATTGAAGCTTAGCGCAAAAAACACGATTCGTATGCCAAAATATTGTGAAAAACTATTTCAATCCTTTGATTCCTCTATAGGTCGCGTGCACGATGACCGACCCTGGAGGCAAAATATTGAAACACAACCTCACTCTTCTGTGAATTATTGAAACACAACCTCACTTACAATATTTTGGCATACGAATCGTGTTTCTTGCGTTATTCATCAATTCAAGCATGCCTTCGCATTGTGCTGTTGTAAAATGCACAAAAAATGCAGCAAGAGACAAGGGAATATGATTTTTCAGGTAAATAGTAATCTCACATAGTTATCATTATGAAATGTTGTCATGCCTTCTTAAAATTCCTTCTGCCTTCTGCCACTTCTGCAATATAAGCTAATACTGCTAATAGATTGAAAATGTCTACAACACACACGATCGTCAGCATGTCAGACCAGTCCTCCCGATTGATTGCATGTATCCAATCTTCTTGCATTATTCTAAAAATTTCAGGTATATTTCTATTAGCTCTTAGTGCAGAAGGAATTCCGATGAGAAATCAGAGAAATAACCAAATTTCAAAAATGAAAACCATATGTGAGTGACTATAGTAGGTACTTACTTTTAAATCATGATGTACCATCCGGATTCCTTCATCTTCCGCTGCAGTTTTTGTGCATTTTACAACAGCACAATGTGATGGCATGAGCGAATTGATGAATAGCGGAAAAATACGATTCATAAGCCAAAATAATTGTGGAAAACTATTTCGATCACTTGTAAACAAATAAGAAAAGTGACGTTGTGTTTCAATGTTTTGCATCCAGCGTCGGTCATCTGACAGTTCTTGCACGCAACCCATACACAAATAAAAAAAGTGAGGTTGTGTTTCAATATTTTACCTCCAGGGTCGGTCATCGTGCACATGACCTGTAAGGAAAATTGAAAAGACAAAGAGCAGAATATATGTCTTATTCTTTCATTCACTCAAGCATTGTAATTTGGAAAATAGAAAAGGACAGTTCAGTAGTGTCCGAACTCTTATCTACTAATATCATCGAGTGACTCCACTAAAAACTATGTTGGATCGGGATAAAATTTAAACAATTTCGTCTCTTCTCTTTTTATATGTCTATGGACATGACTATTCCTTTTCAAAGAATTGAAACTGTGCTCCTACCTAGAAAGTCGCTGGCCAGCTCGACCATGACGGGCAGCTCGGTGAGCTCCTCCAGCAGCTGCCTGGTAGCTATGGCGCTGTGATAGCTGGTGCCGCAGCCGATCAGCATCAGCCTGCGGCAGCGCTTGATTTCGGGGATGTAGTCCTTGATGCCGCCCAGGTAGACGGACTGCAAATACATTGTCTCATCACATTTCAACAGGGTCAACAGTTGGGGAAAAAAGACTAAGACTAAAATTACTAACTAGACCGTTAATGTCATAATAGTCTAAGAGCCCGTGAGCTCTCATCTGGTTATCAGATGAATGAAGGTCGACTTCCCACGGTCTTCTCTACTATAAGATCAAAATGTATTAATTTACGAGGTCGACCTTGGCCCGATGAAAGAGAACTTGTGCGTGGGTGGTTTAATTAAAAACATTCAAATAGATTATTAATTAGTAGTAATTGAAGAGTAAATTATAAGATGGTATCAAAATATATGTACACATGCGAATAAATATCTTATGATGATAGTATGTGTACTTTTATTTATAACCTATACATATATGTATAGACACATCATGATGAGTAATATAGAACATATATAATAAAACCCTAATATTGATATATGAGAACAAGTAAACTGATATAGGAACTAAGATACGTTAATTTTCACCTAGCATAATATTCGATGTTTCTTTGAACCAATAAATGTTTGTATATCTGTTCTCGAAATACTTCCATTCCATTTGGCTAATCTATTTTTGACTAGGGTGAAAGAGTTGATTTGTTTAATTTCAAATGGTAGCATAATTATATGCCTTCGGAGCAAGGTTATAGTGGCCCAAATAGTTTTTTTAATTTTTGATAATGCCGAATTATTATTTTGTCTGTGTCTAGTTGTATGAATGTAACTAATTAAATTGGTATTTCGCCTTTTTTGTTTTGAAACAAAATTTGCTCTTTGAAAAACAATTGACGTGGTCGTAAATGCCAGTATCTTCGTATGAAATATCACTAGGAAAGGTATAACTCCTTCAGAATATCGCTTTTTTGGGTGATCTGTAATCGTTTCAGGTGTATATTAGTTGCACCTCCCCAGCCAACAATATCGAAAACCAGATGCCATTATGCCAATGCGAAAAATATGGTTTTGAGTTGTTCTATTCGAAACATTATGTATGAATACTGTTTATATGTTCATTCCATCTCAGTTAGCTATCGATGATTACACCCAGATATTTAATTTTATTACCATCTGCAATTTTAACCCTTTCTTGATTGATAATAATTTCGCGATCATGATAAATTCAAAGAACAAAATAGGGTCAAGAAGTGTTCCTTATGGTTGGTACACCATATTGTATTTTTCTCACACTACTCCAGTAATTCTCAATAACGATGACAAATTATTTCCTATCGCTCAAATAACTTTCAAGTAGATCGTGTCCTTTGTCTCTAAATCCCATATTTTTTAAGGTTTGCAGAAGGCCAGGGTGACTGACACTATCGAATGCCTTGGCCAAATCGACAAAAATGCATAGAGGTGGGTTTTCTTAAACCATTGCCTCATTCGATTTGTCTACTTCGAAATCATACTTGAGATTTTTCATGGAACAGCGCCAAAATAAGAGTAAAAACATTTTCAAATGTGGTAGGCCATGATAATGAGAAAACAAAATATGAGGCGTCCTGACTACAAATATCAATACTTCTTCGTAACCAAGTATGCGAGTTAGTTTTTTGTAGCAGGACCACGCAGGACTTTAACAGCTTGAAGAAGACATATTTTAAAGATGACAATTGGATGTTCATAGGAGCTTGTCTATAAAATTGTTTTTTTTTTCAATTCTCTCAAATGAGCCTCAATAAGCAGCAGTAGTAAAAGTGATTGATATAGACAGACACAGTCTTGTCCATCATTATCAGATTGATGATTGCAGTTGAGTCACAGATCATTCATTATTCTATGATTAGATAATGATATGGAGGCTGAAAATATTCATACAATTCATTCATGAATTACTATCACGAAGTTACACAATACAACCCAAACCTGAGTGCAGAGTGATACTTTCAGATTCAATCTCGAACATGACAAGGCTACTGTGTAGAAGTGATCTTACATCAAGTGCTGATAATTTATCATCAATCTATTTCAGAGAGGAGATAGCTATTAGTAATCATGATAGTTACTTAGTAAACAGGGTGATTGTTTATATTTTGCTCAACAGCTATCTGGGCAAAAATAAAGTATTTTTTATGGGCATTCAGCATCTATCACTAGAAAATGCAAAAAAGATTGTAAATCAAGAAGATTTACACAAATTTGTACTCTTTAAATGAAACACTGTGTATTTTATTTTCCTAATCGATGGACCACGTTTTTCCTGATTTCGAATATACACTTCTCGAAGAAATTAACCCACCACCAAAAAGTAGCCAAAAGCTTGGGAAACGTTTTCTGTTTTGAATGACAGGTTATTTCCTTCTGAACATTGCTGTGCTAACTGTATTCGCATAAGAACCTCCTTTTTATGAATACAGGGTGTAGCAATTAAAGCGTGTTTTTTTCATGAAATTTTCAATACCCTGTGGAGTGTAACAGTTACGTTATCAAGTTGAACTGGAAAGTACACTTTAGTTTAATCTTTTTTCAACTGTTCGCATGGAACTTGTGATCGTATATGGAAGCCTCACAGCTGAAAGGATATCTCTTGATGCAAGATAATGCCAAGCCTCACGCCGCCAGAGTTGTGAGAAATTATATAGAGGAAGTCTGTATCGCCACCATGGCATGGCTAACTCGAAACCCGGATTTAAATCCCATTGGATTGGATTCTCGGGACAATATTACAAGAGGAACGTAACTTGAATACGTTGGAAAACACACGGCAGAGACTGATGATTCAAATTCGGGCTGACCTGGACCAAGATGACATTAGGTCGTCTTTGCCTAGAAGTTTTTCTTGACCACTTCGTTCAACTTGTGACTTCGCATTCCGTTCCGTTTTTTCGTTATTTATCTTGGATACTGATTTTGAAGATAATGGAGTGAATCCAAAAAAGGAATGTTGAAAGAAGATAAGGCTAAAGTGTGATTTCAATTCCAACTCGATAGGGTAGCTATTACACTCTTCAGAGTATTAGAAATTTCAGGAAAGAAAAACACGCTGTAATAATTGCTACACCCGGTATGTACAAAAAATAGTTTTTTTTATGTGAATACAGTTTGCACACCAATGTTCAGAAGGAAATCACCTGTAATTCAAAACAAAAAACGTCCAAATTGGAAAAGCAGTTTTGACAAAAAATATTTCCTTAACTTTTAGCTGGGAAATGTAGTTAGGTTAGGTTAGTCTATATACTTTTTTCTATTCGCGATAGAAAATATCACGTCGCCCCATCTGACGGCAACAATTTGAACACTTCTGAGCGGTTTGTTTTGAAGGATTGACCAATAATCACAAACTAAAAACAAATGTGAACCAATGAAAACGAAGTAAACACACCGCTTTGACAGCTATCAAAAACTTCCATAGGTGGCGTACGCTCATTTTCTCTCGTGAATAAGACTACACAAAGAAAGCAGCAATTACATTGACTAAATTAAATGATGACAGCAATATTCAACAAACGTCAAAATATCAACAAATGCCATGCCTACCATGAGATGAAAAATGAAAAAAAAAATGGTAGGGGCAATGAACCGCTTCTTGAAATCGATTTTTCATTATAATAGGGTAATTTGTTCGTGAAAAATAAAATCTTGTATGCACCATGAGCGTAACTAGATCCCAACGCCCGGAGGGTAACATGCCTGATATATAACGCACTTGGTACATGGATAACTATATTGAGGTTATCTTTTATCAGTTATTGAAAAATATAGGTTTCTTGGTCAATATTCCGAATTCAACTGGTCAGTACTGTCAGTAAAGCCACTGACTCTGCTGAAAATCTGTGTTCCGAAATATGAAATCAAAAATACAGTGCTGTAATTCGGAACACGTTTTCATGGTAGTCAGCAGCAGTTTATCCGAACTAGATATTCAACATCCTGCTTGATATGAATTTCGGAAATTTTAATATGGAAGAGCAATCGATTCTTGTAGCCTCCATAGCTGCTACAATTGTTGACGATGACTATTCAAGCTCGAGTGATGAAGAATACTTGGGCATTTTGTTGCCAATAATTTTTCATGATGCACCAGATTGAGAATTGAAAGATTCATGCAAAAAGTAATATGGCATTAATGATGATCAATTTAGGAGACATTTCAGGTTTATTCAGTTATTTATTTAGCCAATCCTGCTTCTTCTTTTGTTGCCTCTACTACTTTATACTCCATATTAATCTCAGCGTTTATTATTTCAATAACAGGTATTTTCTGATATCGAGAATAATATTATCAACAACGGAAATGAATGTTACATTCCTTTCCTCCCTAAAATAATGACAGTTCACTGAAGCCACACTACCTTTTGATACTCAGCAATTTCAGCAGAATGTTGAGTCGAAATATTTGGAATGATTAGTATATCTGCTCACAAGCATCTGTCACTATCAGTAAATTTTTCGATTTCGGAATGAAAAATTAGCAGATTCAGTACTGTCAGTTGAATTCGGAATATAGCCTTGGTATCTTGGATCTAAGGCAGGTGAAGAACGCCGGACGACAATGCTGCGATTTCTGGCGTTCTACAGTTGCCTTATTAGAATCTATATTTTTCGTAAACTGACGAAGATAACCTCATTATAGTATAGTGTCATTTATAAAGTCGGCATCATATGGAAAAACTTATAATACTAATTTATTTCGAAATTCGACTTGGCGTTAAGTTATGCTTTGAAAAATATCAAAAATTGCCTACTCGGTCGAGTTACGTGACATTCGCTACATGTCAATAGTGACATTTTTTCAAAGTACTAGTTGAAAATGGGCTTATTTGTTCGAATTTCGAAAAAATTTACTAGGAAAATGTGTTTTCATTCCAATTTTACATATGTGTCTCGACTTTGAACGTTTTATTACAACCTTTAGTTTTTGATATTTTTTCAAATTCAACGAAATGCCTGTAATATTGAAAAAAATTAACACCGACAAAACTATTGCAATCTAGAAGATTTATCATGCTACTAACTTTCAATCACTAATTATCGACAAAAATATGATTTTCTTTAGAAAATAGTAATCCCCACTTCAAATTTATGTTATGTTTGATGCAAGTGATATTTAAATTGATTTTTTCAATACTTGAATGATGCCAAAGTCATCTATCAAAATATCATCAAACTACTCTAGGTATCTCACCAAAGTTCAAGACAGTTTTGTCGAAGTTAGGAGATATCAAGACATATCAAGAACTAAAAGTTGCAATAGAACGTTCAAATTCGAGATACATGTGTTAAATTGGAATAGGAACAACTTTTCTCAGTGAACTTTCCTCAAATTCGAACAAATAAGCCTATTTTCCGCGACTAATTTGAAAAAAATTCAACTTTTGACATGTAGCGATAATCACGAGACTCCTACCGGTTAGGCCATTTTTCATATTTTTTCGGGTAAACCTTGACACTGTATATATTTAAAATCAGAAGAAAGAGCTCTATCGATTAGGAAAATGAAATACAGTGTGTCCCAATTGAAAAATACAAGATTTTTGCATTTGGCATAATGGGCGCTCGGTCCATAGCTAGCAAAATGATATTTTCAATTTAAAGACAGTTAATCTTGAACCGAAAACAAAATTCGCCTGCGGCGCCATTTGTTTGTATTCATGCAGCTCCTCAAATGTATCACAATCTCCAGGTCGACAGATTTCAAAAGGTGGCAACCCTACGTGTGACTGGTGAAGATGCACCATTTTGGTGGAATTAACAGCATAGTGAAACAAACGATGACCTCTGCTATTCATTCAATATTTGTATTGTATTCGATTATGATTGATGTCTCACATCTGTCATACTTCAAATGTTTTGGATGTTCCTTGAACCCAGTTCTAGTAGGAATGTTAATTTGTCTTACATATGTTTTGCCAGAGTAATTTCCCTCATTTCCTGAATTTCTGATTTTTCGAGTGTGTCTTCTTTGTTTTGGAATGCCTAATGAACCAAATGATAAATTCTTTTCAAATTCAAGAATTTATTGAAATGTTTCTATTGACTCATAATTCATCTCTTGATATATTTTTTTTTACATTTGGAGGTTATAACTTTTTGGGAATCCTTCGATTGGCAAAGAATTCCAAAGCTTCGCCGTGCTATAGACGAACGAGTTTTGGTAAAGAAATATTTCAAGGTTGACAACGGAAGGATGTGATAATATTTTCTTCATAAAGGTTATCAATGTGTATAACAATAGCATCATTTCGCCCCAGTTGACTACACGTGGCTGCACAGCTCATTTCAAATATCACATAGTTAAGACGGGTTCAGCCAGCTCATAATGTATAATGGATAATTCATACTGTGTAATGCATAATTTTAGAACATAAGTTTCATATGTACCCGTTTATACAACTCACAGTGCACAACTCGTAATACAGGGTGTTTCATAGGTAAAGGGAAATATTTCAATGGTAGATAGGGGTCACCAAGGTGGTTCTGAAAATACCATATTTGATAGGTCTTAGAGTCTTCATAACGGAGATACAGGGCGATTTATCGATTTCGAATAATTATTCATTCGTCTATATGTATTGACCTACCCAGTATATTTTTCTCAAATTTGGTAAGGAGCTTATACTTGGGACGTTAAATCCATTCACCTATCGGGCGGAGTGAAAATCCAGGTTCAGCTTCAGGAAAAATTTACATTTATTCGAAATATTAAAATAACACACTGTATTTAATAATTAACACAGTACATCAAAAGAATTGTGAAGAGGAGGAAAAACTGAATTTTGTATGATGCTTTGTTTTCCCGCCACCAATTCTCATCGTAACAATCATAAACAGAATGTTGAAAGTATGTCAATTTGAAGAATATTGGAATTATGAAACCAGTGTCAATTATGATTATTTGATATTTTAGTGAAAAAATCGCTCGAAAGAACTCACTAAGTCTCACAGTCTCCATAAGTCTTAATCTACCCAGTGACATTCTCACTGGTAGCTATGTAGCTTACTTGGGACGATGGATTCATTAACCTATCAGGCGGAATGGAAATAATACCAAATGATTATATTTCGATAATTCACCCTGTATCTCTGTTATAAAGGCTATGAGACTTTTCCTGAAGCTGAACCTGTATTCTGCCTGATAGGTCAATGAATCCATCGTCCCAAGTAAGCTCAATACCAAATTTGAGAAAATAATACTGCGATGGGTAGTCTAATACCTATGGAAGAGTGATTAATTATTCGAAACCGATAATTCACCCTGTATCTCTGTTATGAGGACTGTGAGACTTTGTAAGTTCTTTCGAACGATCATTCAACAAGAATATATCAAATAATCATATTTGAAAGTGGTTTCATAATTTCAATATTCTTCAAATTGGCATACTTTTAGCTTTCTGTTTATGATTGTTGCGATGAGAATTGGTGGCGGGAAAACAGAAAGCATCAAATCCAGTTCAGTTTTTCCTCCTCTTCACGATTCCTTTGATGAACTCTGTCAATTATTACATACAATGTGTTATTTTAATATTTCGAATAAATGTAAATTTTTCCTGAAGCCGAACCTGGATTTTACCACTTCACCCGATAGGTGAATAAATACAACGTCCCAAGTATAAGCTCCATACCAAATTTTAGAAAAATATACTGGGTAGTTCAATACCTATAGACGAATGAATTATTATTCAAAATCGATAAATCGCCCTGTATCTCCATTATGAAGACTCTAAGACCTATCAAATATGGTATTTTCAGAACCACCTTGGTGACCCCTATCTACCATTGAAATGTTTCCCTTTATCTGTGAAACACCCTGTATAATGCATAATGCACAATTCACAAAGTAAACCAACTTTTATCTTTTATGCATTATGCACTAATTGCACTATGCAAATTACGCTTGTGCGCATGCGTCTGTCAAAAATGTCAACTTGTCACTTTACAGTGAAGCTTTTATCACTTGCAATAGTTTCAATTTGCAATTAATCCTTTTTACCTCCATGGTAGTCAGGTTAATAATTGATTAAAAATTCAAAAATGGGAAAAACACACACAAACAACACAAAGTGAGGTTAACAACTCTTGCCGAATCTGTCACTTCTGTCATAAGAATTATGCATTGTATAAACACTCCTTTCTGTTGTGCACTACGAATTATGAATTATGTATTATGCATTACACACTATGCATTATGAGCTGGCTGAACCCGCCTTTAGATATGAAAATAGCGAATTGAAAATTAGAAATTTGGTAGAGGATGTTGCTGGTACTTACGCCTGTTTCAAAGTTAAGCCGTCCTCTCATGGTATTTACAACTGATTCTGGCTGTTCGAAAATCTCCTTCTGCATGAAGAAGTCGTAGTTACCCTTCATGATCTGTTGCAACTCCATTTTCAAGGTAGTGATTTCACGTTTGTGTGGGTCATCGCCGCCTCTTCTGATCCTGTGAATGCTCAGAGCACCATTTTTGATGGCCGCAACATCATCATCCTATGGAAAATAACATATTTTTCATTATGAATTATCATGGGTAATATCAAGAGAAAATATTTGGTAGAAGTCTATGATTTCTCAAAGTGGAGTGAAGTAGCAACTACTAATAATACTATATATATATGGTTGATGCTAGCTCGGATATTGAAGATTTGAAGGTGAATAGTTCTATAACTACTACTCGTGCTAAAAAATGGTTTACTTCCAATAATCTCAAACTCAATGACGAAAAAACACAAAAACTCATTTTCTCAACGAACAATAACATTGTTAAAGGTGATAGTGTCAAGCTGCTTGGTTTGGTCATCGATGATAAACTAAATTGGTCTTGTCATGTTCGAGAATTATCCCGAAAACTTTCAAGCACAATATTCGTGCTACGCAACTTGAGTAAACAGATATCCAGAGAAACTATGAGATCATGTTACTTCTCTTTATTCCATTCTCATCTCAGTTACGGCACGATGTTGTGGGGTAACTCTTGTCATGCTGAAAAAATTTTTCGTTTGCAGAAACGTGCTGTCAGGATCGTAGCCGGTGCTGGTTTCAGAGACCACTGTAAACCAATTTTTAAAAGTTTGAATATAATGCCTCTTCCATCATTATATATTTTTGTTTCACTGTTGGAAATTAATAGGAATAGAACGAACCTCGTGACGAATTCAGATGTCCATAACTATATGACAAGGAATGCTAATAATCTAAGAGTACCAAATCACAGGCTGGCAAAGTCAACGAAAAACTCACCAGATCTGAATTTATTCAATCGTCTCCCTAGTGCTATAAGATTATTGGGTGAAAATGCAAAATCATTCAAGTCCGCAATTAAGAAACATATTTTAACTCATTGTTTTTATACAGTCGAAGAATATTTCCACACGCCATTTGTTGAATCTGATAACCACAGTTAGCAAGGAGAACGCTGTACCAAATTCTTAAGTTTGAAACATGGTTTATATTGTTTTGGTTTCAAAATTTTAATTTATAATTTTATTGAATTTACTGTAATGTGTATGTATTTTATTATTCTATTCTTCCACAATTGACTTGCCGAAAACAAATGTATTTTGTAACTTGGTCAAATAAACATCTATCTATCTATCTATCTATAAGTCATCTCCTCGACATGATCCAACAGACCGAATTACTTGGTACATCTCTCAGACATATATACCGAGAAGTGCACAAAAACAGCCAGGACTATAACTTTTGAATTATTAGAGATAGGGTTTTGAAAATTGGTGGGCAGCTAGTATACCAAATTGCTCATTAATTGACGGAACAATGTTTGTTCGATCACTTCCAGTTTCACCGGAAACGACCCCAACTTTTGAATTTCATAGGGCACACCCTGTATTGTATTACATAATCGGTTAGGGATTATCATGACGAATTCAGCGATACCGGGTTTGATAGGGTTATTTCAAACGATTACGCAGATATTCGCGTTCTTAGTTTCCATATGCTCAATGAGTGTGACAGAGAAAGAAGTTTAGATATTGCGAAGTCACGCCCATTGAGCATATGGAAACTTAAAACGCAAATATCTTTGTAATCGTTTGAAATAACCCCATCAAACCCGGTATCGCTGAATTCGTCATGATAATCCCTAACCGATTATGAAATACAATATAGGGTGTCCCATTTGATGGGGTCGTTTCCGGTGTGTCTGGAAGTGATAGAAAAACATTGTTTCATCAATTAATAAGCAATTTGGTATACTTGCTACCCACCAATTTTCAAAAATCTATCTAGAATAATTCAAAAGTTACACTCCTGGCCGTTTTTTGTGCACTTCTTTGTATGTCCATCCTCATCCTCATCAATAATTACTAGATATCCTGGAAGAAATTGAATGGTACAAAATATTTTGGAATAGTAACAATTATGCTTACGTGGGAATGAAAAAAGTTAAGTTACATCTTATCCTAATGAAATGAAAACAAAGATGCGCTTCATTTTAATCCAAGAGGCTGGGGGGAAAGCCAAAAAACCCCAACTGGTAATATTATGGGGGATACAAAAGAAAAGTCTACCACATGGTGCACATCAGTGATATTTTCAAGGGGTAGATCGAAGACAACGTGTACCTGTCCATCTTGTAAGGTACTCGGCAGAAGTTACCTGACCAAGAAGAAAAGAACAGATACATGTGTCGCACGTCACAAGTCAACAGAAAGACAAATGACATGAGACGCACCAATGTCTGCTGGTAACTTATTGTGTATTGTGGCTTAGAGGAGGACAGCACCTGCAGATTCTGCGGGGAACATTCAGAAACACCGCACCACATCTTGCTGGAGTGTTTTGCTATACCGGGTGGCTACGGAACTATTGCCTACGGAATATCTCAGTTATTGAATGAAGTAGGTTTGTGAAATTTGGAGCGTCGATATGATGACATAAGAGCTAGAATTGGAGCATATTGACATGTCGAAGTTAACTTCCGGTCTGACCGGAAGTAACATCAACTTTCTTATTTTGAGTGGAAACCCTATTTTTTTTCTTTTTGCTTTATTCAGCATTCAATTCCCTTTCTAATGACATATCTCAAGTTGGTATCTAACGAGAAACTAGATCAGAAAAAAATTATTATTAAAATATTGTTATTTGAAGAATAATAATTGGATTTTTTGGTATTTCATTTCAAAAAATGACTTTCTATTATATCATTAGAAAGGAATGGTTCTGCTGAATAGTACAGGCAAGAAAAAATTGTATGTTCCTATTCAAGTTATGGACCTACAGAGTATTGTTTTTTTCACAATTTTTCCAATATTTTTTTGGCGGATTTTTATAACGCCGACGAATGAAAATAAAATATCACAGTAGTAGCAACTGTTATCAAGTGACGTATGGTTTCCATAGCCAACTTTTCAATTTTTGTCTTTCATTTTGCTTCCACGGCCTACTCGGTGAATTTCAATAATAATTTTTTTCTGATCTAATTTCTGGTTAGATACCAACTTGTGATATGTCATTAGAAAGGGAATTGAATGCTGAATAAAGCGAAAGAAAAAAAAAATAGGGTTTCCATTTAAAATAATAAAGTTGATGTTACTTCCGGTCAGACCAGAAATTAACTTCGACATGTCAATATGCTCAAATTCTAGCTCTTATATCATTATATCGACGCTCCAAATTTCAAAAACCTACTTCATACAATAACTTAGATATTCCGTAGGCAATACTTCCGTAGCCACCCGGTATACCACAAAAGATCGAACATACTGGGAGCATACCAGCATTACCAGCTGATGGTGGAAGAAATACCACTAACAGATCCCCTCAAAATCCTCAGATTCCTAAAAGAATTGAAGCTTGAGGGGCTGCTGAAAACAAGAAAACCTGGAGATAGCAGAAGGAGATGAAGCACAATCAAGTCAAGTCGCAGCGCATCGGTCACCATCCACACTTACCAATACCAATACCAATCACTTGTGGTATTACATATGAGAAATCGTTCTAAAATATGTTTAGTACTGAATTATCGAAAAGTAGCAACAACTTTGTTATTTCAAATGGGATACCCTGGTTTCAATTGCATTCTTAGATTCTCACTGAAGAGCTGATTTCATCAATACATCATACTTGGGGTCTAGCGGGAATGATTACAGAGATATAGGGTGTTCAAAATCAAGATTTTTCAATTCATTATGTGTTGAAACTATTCATTTATTGGTCAAAACGGCTTGCATGTCCCTATCTTAACTTTTGATTCAGTATCTTCTGACATTTAATTGGAACAAATACAGGGTGGTTCAAGATTCAGAATTCTGATCAGCCTGTATCTGTATGTATATATTTTTTTTCATCTTCTGGGGCACACGAAAGAGAATCCCTATAATATTTGGAACACATCGTGCGTACCTAGGCAGGATAAGAGAGGAGGTAGGTATTGCAGTTTCTTTTTCGAGTTTTTGAAGATTATAAGTTCTTAGGAATACTTCATTTTGCAAAAAATTCAAAAGCTATGGAATTATTGCTTTATACTGCGTAAATCACTTTACTTAAGAAATATTACTCGTATATGAATTAAATTATATCTGTAAATGTTTACATTTATGACTATTTCGTCATATTCCTTATTAGTGAACTTGATACAAAAAAAAAACACCTTACACTTCAAAATCATAAATCACACAATATCAACAATTTCACTAAATCAGAACTACTTCTGTATGAATTATGGAGTTGTTAATGTTGATTTTAGTAACTGGGATCTTATCATTGATACAATTTCTGTCAACAACCTGCCCTAGATGAATCTGACATACAGGGTATTTCAAAGTGGCAAAAGTCTAGGGAAGCTTTCCGCTCAGCAGGATATGAGAAAAATTCGTTTGCTTCGTTTCCGAGAAACAGGGCGTTGGAAACGCTTTAACCGATATAAATAAAATTCTCACGATACATTCAAACAATCATCAAACATCTACTGGACCAATTAGATAAGATCCAGTAATTCCAGTGGCGTAGTAGCCAGCCAGCAAGTTGTTATTTGCTATTTTTATCGATAACGAAAATAGGTATTTATTATACGAGGGAAAGAAGTAGTAGATTTTAGCTCCAGGTTGTGTTGTCTCCCGACGCGTAGCGGAGGGAGACAAAAAACCGTGAGCTAAAACATAATATTTTTTCAAAAGTTATTCGATATGAAACCGTTTTCGAGCCATTAATGAAAAACTATTTTTTTTAAAGCTTGACCCTGTATCTAGGAAATGAACTATTTTTGGGCACTTGTTTACGTGAACTTTCTTCCATATTTTACTGAGCTGAGTCCCTCGCAGTCTTTTGTCACAACTGTGGCACACCTGATATATCTGTTATATCAACCAGACACTGCAATATTAATGACAGAAAAAAAAAACAATATACAGGGTGAGTAATAACTATCGGGACATAGGCTTAGGGCGGATTGTTTGGATCTGAATATGGCGACAGGACCAAATATGCATCAATAAAATATTGATGTGGAGAAAGATACAGGGCCTCAAAGTTGAATTTCTTTTTTTCGTGTTTTACTAATAATTTCAATGTATATTCATCAATTGTAATCAAAATCGGCACAGAGGCATACATTAGTACAGGAAATATTATTTTATGTTTTTTCTACAGTGTGTTACAGGGGGAGTCACGTGAATGATTCCTGATGATGAAATCGACTGATAACTTTTTTGACGAAACTTTTCAATGATTTTGGTTAGAAAATATGACATGAACATCATTTCTACGTAATATTGGTGCTTCTGTTTAAAAACGATATTTTCATCCGTTTTCGAGAAAAACCCAATTGAACAGTTCAAAATCTCGGTAGGGGATTTGAAATAATATTTCAATTATGAAGAGTACTTTGGATTGTCAGATGATTGTTGCTGGTGAATTACATTTCTTGTCAGTGAATAAATTTTGGTGCGAGTTTATAGTCAAGACTTTTCCGATTGAAACGCCCTCTATCTTTTCCACAGCAATATTTCATTAAGGCATATTTGTTAATAATTCAACTGACTGACAATATATTTTCAATCAATCAATGTTATTTATTTCAATCATCTCAATTTGTTATGATTAATTCTTACCAAACACGAACAAATTTGACAGTTTCTTATTCGATAAACATCATCACATCACCACATCAAGAAAAATGGTGTGGATATTAGGTCTTTGAAAAACGCGCGATCATGACGACCTAGCCGGAGTACGGAGTTGCGCTATTTTTTTTTTAATGGTACACTTTGAGATCATAAATACAAGTATTTTCATTACAAAGAATGGATGTGTAAAATGGTTGAATCTATGAAGTCAGTATACCGTTCATTGTCATGGAAATGGGAAAAAAAATTAATTTTAAACATTTCGTTAGTGATATTGTATTTGACATTGTCAAATCGATAATTAAAATGTTGACATGGTAACTTTAAAAAACGCGCGTTTCTAAAAAGTGGTATTTAATCACGCTGTAGCGTCCATTCAATAAGCAAAATAGGGTATCAATAAAAAAATCGATTATAGCAATGAAATTATAAAAAAGCGAGTTGTTTCGATCCTATAGGTCGCGTGCACGATGACCGACTCTGGAGGTAAAATATTGGAACACAAGCTCACTCTTCTGTGAATTAGTGAAACACAACCTCACTTTTTTATTTGTTTACAGATCCAAGCATGCCTTCGCATTGTGCTGTACAATGCACAAAAAATGCAGCGAGAGACGAAGGAATATGATTTTTCAGGTAAATAGTAATCTCACATAGTTATCATTATGGAATGTTGTAATTCCTTATTGAAATTCCTTCTGCAACTTCTGCAATACAAGCTGATACTGCTATAAGATTGAAAATGTCTACAACACACACGATCATATTTCGTCAGCATGTGAGACCAGTCCTCACGTTTGATTGCATGAATCCAATCTTCTTGCATTAGCTCCTATTGCAGAAGGAATTCCGATGAGAAATCGGAGAAATTACCAAATTTCAAAAATGAAAACTATATGTGAGTGACTATAGTAGGTACTTACTTTTAAATCATAATGTACCAACAGGATTCCTTCGTCTTCTGCTGCAGTTTTTGTGCATTGTACAACAGCACAATGTGATGGCATGAGCGAACTAATGAATAGCCGAAAAATACGATTCCTATGCCAAAATAATTGTGAAAAACTATTTCAATCACTTGTAAACAAATAAATAAAGTGAGGTAGTGTCTCAATGTTGTTCCTCCTGGGTCGGTCATCTGACAGTTCTTGCACGCAACCGGTTTTGCATTTGTTCAATTCATACTAACCTCAAAATAGATGACGCGATTTGTGTGTTCGATGATTGCCGAGGCGTCCGAAGCAAAGAAGTATTCGACTTGCTTGTCTTCGAGTGGCTCGAATTCTGAAGTAGAACCGGTCCTGGGCAACGTGGGGAATTCCGTTCTTCCATGAGGCCTGTGTTCTGTAATTTCTCGAAATGAGTAATAATGACATGCGAGTATTGAATATCCCCTCGGTTCCTTGCGGAAGAGCAATGGCGGATTGCCCATAACGCACCGTAGGCCCGGGCCTAGGGCATCCAATCGTGACAAAAAAATTCCCTGATGATTACAAGAAATAACTAAAAGTACCAAAGTATAAAAAAACATAGAAATCTCTAATTCCGGCACCAGAGTCCGATTATGTGTTGACACTAGCTCAGAGAGCCCCAATTATCTCTGAAACCTAGCAGCTGTTATAGTTAACCTGAATTGTTTATGTTGAAAATTGGCAATAAAAAACGTTCATAGGCTGGGCCCTAGGGCCAAGACTGATGGTATATTGATGATCTCTAACTCAGTTTGGTTCATACCCCGTGCCGGTGTTTTTCAAAATTACCTTGTGAATAACTTGTCATACTTCGCCTTGACCAATATACAGGGTATTTCTCAAGTACGTGTAGACAATTCAGGAGCATGTTGCTGACGTCAGAATAGGAAGAAAAGTACGTATAAATATATGTCCGAAAGTTATTCGTTTCTGAGATATAAGTGTCAAAGTTGAATTCTTTTTTTTTTGTTTTTTGTCAATGCATTTCAAAATAATTGTGATATTCGAATGAAGTTTGGTGTCTAGGGATATATTTCAATGACAATATCAAATTTCATTTTAGTTTGTTTCTTTCGTGGGGGTGGCGCCATCGATGATTAGGGAATCTTTGATTATAAAACGTCTAGCTTCGTAGCAATTGCCATCGGCGAGGCCGTATACGTATTTATTAGCCATTCCGCTATTTATGTATTCATGTCAACAAACTCCACTGTCACAAGAACGGATTGAAATAACAAGACAAGTACTTACTTGATTGTTATTTTTCAAACTGGAAGAGTCCAAAAAAGTAGGTACAAAGAAGTAAGAATCGTCTTTTGCCAACATTTCAATGTTGAATGTAGGAGGATATTGAATGAAATAATTCAAATGCATAGATTATATCAAATCCCAATAACTCGAAAACAGGTGCTCGCAGCGACCTCTACCAGAAATATATTTTTCACACAAAAGTATTTTAGAAATCTATTTTTCTACTATGAAAAGTGATACAGATACGCACAAAAAAGTTGACTTTTCAAAAGACTGAAAAGACATGTAGGTGGCGGTGGCGCCACCCCCACCAAGGAGACAAACTAACATAAAATTTGTTATAGTCATTGAAAAATACCCCTAGATATCAAATTTTATTCGAATATCACGATTATTTAGAAAATTATTAACAAAAAACAAAAATAAGAATTCAAATTTGACACTCTATATCTCTGAAACGAATAACTTTCGGACATATATTCATAAATGTTTATACGAACTTTTCTCCTTATTTCGACTTCAGCAAGATGCTCCTGAATTTTTTCCACGTACTTAAGAAACACCCTTTCTGTATATCTGGAAAAACAGCGCACCCCTTTATCTTTGATTATTGTTTTCACTCAATTTGTATCCATATTAAAGTTTTGTATCAATAAGACATTACAAAATATTAATAATAAACAATCTGAATTTGAAAATTTTCTGAAAGTCTCAGGAGATAGAAGATAAGTAGTCTGGTATCTTTGATTGATATCGGTTCACTATGAAAATGAATAAAAATACATCTATAATTGGAATAACATACAGGGCGAGTCATAACTATTGGAACATAGGCTTAGGGCGAATAGTTTGGACCAAAATATGGCAGCAATAAGACCAAAAATGCCTAAATCAAATATTGCTGTAGAAAAAGATACTGGGCGTTAAAGTTGACTTTTTTTGTTAATAGTTTCACTGTATATTCATCAATTGTTATAAAGATCGACACAGAGGCATAATTTTATGAAGGGAATATTATTTTATGTATTCTACAGTTTGTTACAGGGGACGCCACATGAATGATTCCTGATGATGAAATCGACTGGTAACTTTTTTTGACGAAACTTTTCAGTGAATTTCCACGTAATATTGGCACACTTGATCAAAAACGATATTTTCATCCGTTATCGAGAAAAACGCAATTAACCAGTTCAAAGTCACGGAAGGGTGTGCTTTGGACTGTCAGATTATTGTTGCTGGTGACTTACAATTCTTTTCAGTAAATCAATTTTTCGATTGAAACGCCCTGAATCTTTTTCCTCAGCAATATTTTATGAAGAAAAAGTCTTATATTGATCCCAACAATACGTCCTTAGAATATTTCCATCGAATTTTGAATCACCCTATATAATAATGGATATGATGGAGAGCTCTAATTGTCTCGGTTATCTCGAGTGAGTTCGACTCTCACGCGGGGCGGTGAAGTTTTTTAATTTTACGTTGTCACTCGAAATTAGGACTTTCTATCTTTTCGGAGTAACCGACAAAAAATTGTGACTCACTACTATGTATAGATTGCTTGCGGACATTACCGTATTCAAGGATTAAGGAATGACAATACCAGAGGACGAACGGGGAAAATGGAGACTGTATAGTACCATCCTGCCAGCGATACTTCATATAGTTTTTTTTTATGTTCTGGTTCCCACGAAAAGGGATATCCTGTAATGTTCAGAGAACATGGTGAGAACCAAGGGAAATAAGGTAGGAATTGGTGTTCTTCTTAAATTTCTGGGCAATGGCAATGTGTTCCAGAGCCTCGCTGTTCGTTGGATGAACAAGTCTTTGGAAAGATGTTCTGCAGGTCTCCAATGTGACCACGAAGGGGAGCGAAGCCTCAACTCGACGGGTTAATCTCGCGGGGACTGCCAAGGGAGGAACAATTGGCCAACTCTTTTACGGTGCTCCAGAGAAGTGAGTGAGTTTGTGAGTGAGGCATCACCCACGAAACGAATTGCCCTTTTTTTGGACAGAATCCAACAGTTTCAGGGTATGTTTGGGTGCTGCACTCCAAATATGGGAACAGTATTCCCGGACAGGTCGGATCTGTGCCGTATAGATCATAAGCAGCTGACTGGAAGTGAAATAGCTCCTGGCCCGAAACAGAAAACCAAGTTTTTGGGATGCACTTTTAGCAAATTGATCTCACGTGATTTTCCCAAGAAAGGTCATTGCTGATAGTAATACCAAGCATCGAAATGGGTGTCTTCAAAGGTATGGTTACTCCTGACATGCTTATGTTTGGCACAGTGAGATCGGCCTTTCTAGAGAAAAGGCATGCTTGTGTTTTGTTTGCATCGAAATCTACCAATTTATTGGATCCCTACTCGAGAATTGTTGCCAAGTCCATATTTATGTTGTCAACATTTCTTCCTCGTTCGTTTCTGATTTGGCGGTATGGAGGGTACTATCATCCGCGAAGCAGTGTACTGGACATGAAGTTGCTTCCAACAAATCGTTGATATGGAGTAGAAATAGTGTTGGTGCTAAAAGTGATTCTTGCGGAACACCAGCATTTGTGATAAGAGTCAGATCAAACTCCGTCGACCACTACATGGAGAGACCTGTTTGAGAGAAAAGATATAGTGCACGATTTTGAGTGACTTCGGGAATTGGAAGGATTCTGCCGCCTGGTGTGTGATGAAAACTCGACCTCCCTGCCGATTGATCGACGGATGTCTTATTAGCTTAATTGGCAGAGCTTTGGGCATGTAACCCAGAGGTTGTGAGTTGGACTCTCACGCGGGGCGGTGGAGTTTTTTCATTCTCCGTTGTCACTCAAAATTAGGGCGTTCGATCATCTCCATTATTATTTTCAATAAACCCTGATGAAAGTATATTAGTTACCTAATACTTTTCTACCTCACCTAGGATTTACTATACTCCCATAGGGAACCTATTTTCAATCAAGCAATTACTTTAATGTTGCAGCTGGAAGAAATACTTCTTTTTGAATATATTTTTTTAAACCATAACGCATCCATATCTGAAATTGTTGAAAAAATAAAAAAATCGAAACTTTGAACATAATTATGTTTATAGGGAAAAAAGTCTTATTTTGACTTGAAAAATAAGTCCCTGATATTTCGATAGGTACTGACCTTTGAAACACCCTGTATATTACGATAAGATTCTTGGTAATCTCTTCTTGCAGAAGTGATATTTTCTTTCTTTCCGTATATTCGATATTCTCAGCGGGATTTTAAAAATACCGCCACGGCAACAAAACAACACTGAGCACGATGTCATAATATAATGTCCTTCTCTCTCCCGCAAAGAACCGGGGGGATATTCAATACTCGCAAATGGAATCGAGATCGAAGCGACAACAATTATTCTCAAAAATTGTTGAGCAGCTTATTTTCAAAATTTCCAAGGAGGCTAGTATAAGAGGATGTGATGTTTTTGTATTTTTGTGGGATTATAGATAAACCTCATGAATATTACTGATAAACTACTTAGAGTGTATCAATGAGATGTTAAATAAAATGAAAATGATTGTTTTCTGTTGATTCACAGTCCAAAGTATACCTTCTACACTGATATAAGTTTAGAATTATTACTCTAAACTCAAATTTCCTTGGAAGAGACTCAAAATTCTCAAGAATAAAACGGTTAGAAAGTAGTGTATGATATATTACTTCGGACTGGGATTGCATAGCGAATGATGATGAAAAATGAATGATATGCAGTTAGCAATGTTTTTATAATCTGAGTAAATTTTCCAAAAATCACCATTCACCAACATCAACGTTAGGACAAAAGTGTTGTAAGTACTTCTTCAGAGCAAAGCATGACGTGAAAATACGGGAGCAGATTGGTTCCCGAAACGTCCAACGATGAGAGACATTTTATATTCTTCAATACACTATATACCTCTTCCCAAAACATGTTTCAAACAGGGTATCATGTTTCTGATACATAGTAAAAATTTAGGCGCAGATTTATCCTTACTGCAAGTATATTGAAATAATAGTAATATTTTAATTTGAGATGAAGAGAGAAATAACCAAAACAATTTTGAGAACTGAATGTTTATAAACCACGAATATCATCCATTTCTCGCAGTGGTTCAAAGTATTTTCGAAATAAAAATTAAATACACAAAGGTGAGGCAAGTTCCGGTTTCGGCACGACCGCCATTATCAGACTTATAAGTACCCATATTGTCAAATTTAAGTTACAAATTGAAGTCAAGGCAATAGTTGGTCATTGGGTAGGGTGTCATGAAAAGATCACAAAACCGGTAACCTGTCTTATCCAATAATTTTGTTTAAATACCTATAGTGTCGTGGACTGACTTCGTGTATTTGATTTTTTTCTTTTGAAGATTGAGTAGTATGCCTATATATGATGTGAATATTGCTATAAATAATTGAGCAGAAGCTCTCAGCGAAAATGGAAAACCTGATTTATTTGGGCTAATTTTGATTTCCCACTGTCTTGTTAAGTCTTAACTGATGAAAGTTCAATAAATGCTTCCAGGTATTCTAGGTTTTATAAACTTGAAATATGAAATTATTCACACAAAATAAATAGTTCCCTGCGTCTATATTGGACGCCACATGATAATCAAGCGATACTTAATCAAGCAAACCACATTATTGCTGTTAAAGGTAAATATACATTGATAACAGGATTTGAAGGGAACAGGACAATATAATCTAAGGTATAGTCTAAGGCAATGAATATGGTACTTATTATAGGATATGGAAACGTTAAATTACCATTTCGAATCCTAAGCCGATGAGTTGAAGCATTTGTAAGTAATAAAACACCAAATACTCACCAATAACTGTTACCGCCACCAATTGGAAGCAAACTTCCTAACAAGTAAAGGAAATAAAAAGCTGTTAAGCACATTTAAAAATAAACAACATATAGTACTACCTGAACTGGAATCTGGCTCTGCAGGGGGAACCCAGAAATAAAACAAGAAGAAAACAAACAAAATTAAAAAACGAACAGTGAAGACATATACATACATATGTAGAAAAAAATACAGCATATACAATTCACAATGCATTAGAACGAGATGTCCTCGAATCAGGCGACCAGCTTAAAATACAAGAGATACATGGGTATTGAGTTGAGATTACGAAGTTCCATCGCATGTGAAAATTTTGGCTGCAATAAATGTAAAAAATACCATTCCAAAATTTGAATATTTTGTTCCCTTGTGAACATGGACATTTTGGAATTCGAAAGAAGTTACGTATTTCATTCTCAACCGGTATTGGCTTACTAATGCCACGATCCAACTTACATCTGACACGTATACAGTGTTGCCAGTTGCTGTTGACTTTTTTCGTTATGTAGCGTCATTTTCAATCATCCAGTTTTGGTTTTATGCAATTGTCATTCTCGTCAGATTCACATGATCAAACTATCTTCAAAAAATTACTCCAACAAACATAAAAAGAAAACGCTGAGAAAGGCAAACAGTCTGGAAGAGGGGGATCAGTAGTAGAGTCGAATACACGAATTCAACCGACCTGAATTGAAGCATCTATAGGCAGGACGCAAAGAAACAGGGCGCAACAAATAATCCATGCGGGAAGTAAATGTCTTCACAGTATTTTGTTTTGATAAATCACTTCAAAGAAAAGGAACTAAGGAACCAATCCTTACCACAAGGATTGATTGTTGAGAGATTTGTTGTATAACATCCTATTGCTTGATGCTTCATTTAAGGTCAGATTGAATTCGTACCAGTTGAATACTGAATAGTTGATCATCCCTTTCATATATTGGGTGACACAGGGTATCGGCTCACCCCTGTAACTTCTACATTCGTAAACGAATTTTTCTGAAGTTTGATAAATTCATATAAGCAACCATTTCCTTAAAATGCCAGCAACATTATTTTTTCGAATGGAACACCTTGTATATATTTACATATTCAAGCTCAACTGGTCAAAACAAGTGCAATATTTATGCCAAATAATTTTTTTTTGAAAAATTAGAATTTAAATTGTTTTTTAATGTTACCTCATGGATACATGGATATTCACAATGACTGGCACACAACAGAAAAACATAATTTTTTCACAATTATTTGACAAGATTCAGAAATGTATTCCACAGCTCACTAAGTGGAAAAATTATTCGAACTGCAAGGGAATTCGTGAACTACTTGATAATTATTGAATGTAAACAGTTTGTTACTGTACCGAAATACAAAAATGATATGTCATTTTTGTTTGTGACCTTTGAAAATTCCCTGTCACAGTTTACAAAAACCATATACAGTGAAATGACTCAACTAGGGTAATGTTACGCCACTATGTATGAACCTGTGACGATGGTAGACGTGGGGCGAGAGAGGAAAAGGATCAACGAGCAGGGAATGAGAGGGTGATGACGAAGAGGGAAGGAGTGAAGGCGAAGAAGAGATGACCGGGGTTATGAACTAACCACCGACCTGTTTATCCAAAAAGTGCAAATTATTTTATTGGCAATGCAGTAAAGTACGAGTCAAATCTTAAGTGAATAACTATTGGAAATAATATTGTTCCTGAGGTATATTTCGAAGAGGTCAATTACAGTGAGCACAAGAGATTGATTAACCTGGCTGTTGAAATTACCCTAACCTAACAAAGTGACAAACAAACTGTAAGCAAGCACTCGCACAGCTGTAAGTGTTGGACAATTATTCTTTCGTTTGATGTGTGGCATGACATGAAAAACTTTCATAACAAAGGACATTCGCGGTAGTTTTAAGGGGATATCGTGTAGGGAGTTTAGCGGATTTTAGTTAGAGTTGATTAGCTCATGCTAAATAAAATTGTTTGTGAATCCACAGAGTCTCATTCTCATATCCTCAACAGATAAGGGGCATTTCAACAGGATGAACTTTTTGATAAAAACTGAACTATCGAAAATTTTCAAAAACGATCCTGGATTTTTCCGATTCTGGAAATGTCAGTCGATTAGGAGTTAGTAGAGAAATATTCCATAAAAAAATCAGACGAATCGAAGGTGCTGTTGAAAAGTTATGCCCACAAGATATTTTATCAAATCTCATAATTCACCCTATATATTGGTAAAGAAGAAGAGAAGACACTTTCTGATGGTCATTAGACATGCCCCTCAAGGGCTTCTATTGGTGGTAAGAGTATGTACAGTTCCTCATGTCTGACCCTGTATAACTGTACCTTTCAGAAAAATCCGTGTACGAATGCAGATGTTTTATTTGGTATCTGTTGAACTTTGTGCTGGTCGACTGATTGGGGACAATATAGTTCAAATGCTTTGGAATCCGATTATTTGCCGGCAATTTTTTTCTACATCTGTAAATTAGAAGCTTATGGGATTCATAGCTTGAACAGGAAACATTATTTTGATTCAAGTCATTCCATGAAATTCAAGAGGCATCAATTTGTTCTGTTCAAGCTGTGAATTTTGATTGCTTATTAATAATTGAACAATAGAAGCTTTTCAGCGATATGGAATGAGAAAATGATAATTAAAAAAACGGTATTTTGAGTATTTGTTATGGTGCATTAGCTCATTTGCAATTGAAATGAACAAAAACAATTTTTGAAATATTCTACTCCTTCAGAAAATGTCGCCGTTATCAATTTGCATATAGTAGGTTCATCAATATCTTGAACATTTTTAGATAACACAATTTGTGGTAACTCGTCATTATTTGGAAAGTGAAGTGTACTTTAGCTATCATTACTCTGAGTGATTTTTGATGTTTGCAGTATCAGGAATTGTAGATTGTTATCTGCTAATATCAATTTCAGGAAACTATTTCCATACAATTCCAATCAGATATCTTTTAAACAAGAATATAATGAAAATCAAATCGATGCTTCTAATGTTCTAGAGTTTTGAAGTTTTTCAAAATATTGTTGCATTGGGATGATATGCTGCAAATTAAAACAGTGTAAAGCTGAAAAAGTTTGTAATTCATAATAATCCAGTGAATAGAGGAGGTTCACCTTACAAACGGTCCGGTAGTTCTGAATTTTTGTTATCTAGGATGGTTATCGATTGTTTAAAATGCAAAATGCACAATTCCCCCTCCTCCGCGCCCACTGCCATATTGAAAAAACCGAAAAAAATAGGAACTTTCTGCAGATTTTCGCTCATATTATCGTTATGGTGCATTTTAGCTACAAAAGAGTCCCATTGAGTATTGTAGAGGATTGAATTTCCTATAATTCACGTTTTGAATTTTGATCCTAGGACTGATAGTTACGGAGATATGCACCTTTTAAAAAATGTAAAAAATCGCATTTTCCGGAAAGTTGTCAAACTTCTCACTTTAGAACGCTGTAGTTCACTTATGGAATATTCTAGGGAAACAAGTATCGGAAGAAGATTTGTAGGGAATTTAATTACATACAGAAATGCATGTACAATTTGTTTCACCCACCCTACGTGATGGGGCGTGAAAATGAAAGTTAAAACAACGGCATATTGTTTTTTTGGCTATTGTGACTCCACATTGTATCTAAAAATATTCACTAACCATCACAGCGCGATGCTTAAGATGCAGGTACTATTTCAATTGATTCACTCAATGACTTGGTGGTATGTCCTCAGTAAGTGGAAATGTGCGGAGTCTGTGGTCGGAGGTAGTTTAGCCAGATTGAGTTTGAGGGTACTTGTTTTCAATCTGCTATAGGGATACCAAGATTCTCTTCCCTGCTACTGAAATTTCTTGGGGACTGGCAGCAGGGTCCTCGAACCTCTCCGCTTGATGGGTCTCTCCTAAAAAGTTGGCAGAATTTATTCTTTTCGAACCCAGAAATGTTAGATGTGGTGTCGCAGCCCGATATTGCGTGCAGGAGCAAGATACAGCCTTTGGAGTTGTACTTGTAGGAAGAGGCGGAGTAGATTGCGTCTGGATGTTTCCCTCTTGCTGGTTTTTCGAGGTAGACATTGTTCACCGCAGATGTTGAGCCAGTCAGTAGGACGAGTAGGTCCATGTCTTCTCCGACAATGATGACGGCGTCGTACGTGGGGGACAGACATTTAGCTGTGGCAACTATCAACCTGTCAGCATCTTCGGGAGCTTGGTCTGTGACTGTATTTGACGCTTGCATTTCATTGCAGAGCAGCTTCACAAATCGGTCCCTGTTCCCCTCATTGGCCAGGAATTCATCCTGAGGTACGGTGTTGACAGTGGTTTTGTCAAACACCACGTTTGATGATGAGTTTGCCTTGTACCTTCTTGCTGAGAAGGATATGTAGTGTAGCCATCAAAAATCACCATCACATTGGTGCCATAGTGTCGCTGAACGTACTTGACAAAATTCCGGAACATGCGTTTGTAGCTTAAATGCACCAAAACGAAGATATACGCGAAAATCTGGAGGAAGTGCCGATTTATTTGGGTTTATTCAATATGGCGGAGGGCGCGGAGGGGGGAAAATTGTGCATTTTGCATTTTGAACACTCAATAACCATCCTAGATAACATATCAAAAATTCAGAACTACCGGACCGTTTGTAAGGTGAACCCCCTCTATGTGTCTATTCACTGGATTATAAAGATGGTGCAAAAATTTTGGTTGCGTTGTTTATGACGAATTGAAGCATGAATATGATGAGAAAACAAAAAAAGATTAATTTTTCATAACATGACATAGGTGACCTTAGCGAATATGTGGAATAATAATGTTAATAAATAATTTCAATATACCTGTTGGAGACAAAGGTGGTAGCTCTTCTACATAGTGCCAAAGGAATCCATAGAGTACAAGAGAACACAAGAAAATTATAGGTTAGAAATAATAATGTTAATAAACAAATAACAGATACACAACACATTTGTTATTTGTTATACAGTGATGGACAAAAGTGTGAAACACCGTTTGTTTGATTTTTTGAATTTTTGCACAGGATGATTTGAAAACATGGCGGATTCCGGAATTCTTGTCAACTTCATAATTGGAAATATTTATATAAAATTTGGAAGAGAATATTTCAGCGAATCAAGAAAGTATAGAGACGATGGCGCAGCGGTCAAAGTGTGTGTTCTTTGTCTTATAAGAGTCCGATATGAATGACGTTAATAGACAAAATTGCCGATACTGATCGCAAACTCATCCTCACTGGGTATACAAGAGGCACATTAACAACATCCCCGAAAACTGAACGTTTGGGCTGGTATTTTCTCCAACAGGATTGAAGTCCCTTTTTTTAGAAGGGAATTTGAATGCAGACAGATTTTTTTTTCTCTTGGAGCGCACGAAAAGAAATTCCTATGATGTTTTGAGAACATCGTGCGTGCCTAGGGAGGATAGAGAGAGGCGATAGGTGTTGGATTTGGGAATACTTTCTCTGGAAAAGCCGATCTCACTGTGCCCAACATAAGCTTGTCAGGAGTAACGATACCTTTGAAGACATCCATTTTGATGCTTGGTATTACTATCAGCAATAACCTTTCTTGGGAAAATCACGTGAGGTCGATTGCTAAAAGTGCATCCCAAAAACTTGGGCCAGGAGCTATTTCACTTCCGCTCAGCTGCTTATGATCTATAAGGCACAGATCCGACCTGTCCTGGAATACTGCTTCCATATTTGGAGTGCAGCACCCAATCATACCCTGAAACTGGCTCGCTCACAAACTCTCTCTCACTTCTCTGGAACACCGTAGAAAAGTTGGCGATCTGGCTCTATTTTATAGATATTCTCATGGACGATGCTCTTCTGAAATATCAACAATTGTTCCTCCCTTGGCAGTCCCCGCGAGATTAACCCGTCGAGTTGAGGCTTCGCACTCCTTTGTGGTCACTTTGGAGACCTGCAGAACATCTCTTTCCAAAGACTCGTTCATCCAACGAACAGCGAGGCTCTGGAACACATTGCCAAGGGAGGTGTTCCCCGAGGTATATTCTCTCCAGAAATTTAAAAAAAAAACACCAATTTCTTCTTTATTTCCATAGGTTCTCACGATGTTCTCTGACCATTACAGGATATCCCTTTTCGTGGGAACCAGAACATAAAAAAAAACTTCCATTGGCCAAGAACTCCAAAACTTTGGCGTTCTATAAACGATACTGTTCTGTTGAATACACAAATGATTCTGGCGCTGGAGGGAAATTAACAACTACCAAATGATATCGGGTTTCAGCAGGAAAGGGTACCTCCCCATTGCAAGATCACTTAGACAGGACATTTAATAAAAAATTGATTAGAAAAAGAAGTACGATTGAATGACATACGCGATCTCCCGATATAACTTCACTGGACTATTTTCTATGGGGTTATTAGAAGTCCAACGTTCATTTTAACCGACAAAATGGTTTGCCAGAACTAGTTGAAAGAATAACCGATGGGATTCAAAAAATTCAACCAGGAGTATTCACTGATGTCTAATAGTATGAAGGAATTTACAAACAGAATAGCCTACTGTCAAGAAGAAAACGGTGCTCTGTTCATTTTCACTTCATGTTTTTCCCTGTTTTGGATTGATTTAATTTTGGTTACCTTGTGGTTGTTGTGATTGTTTTATATGCAAGTTCTTATTCTTTTGTTGGTATCTCGGTTTGCCTTGGAATTAAAAAAATAAATAAAAACGTGGCAACATTGACAATAACTTTATCGATTTTGCCATGTTTAAAAATCACCGTGCACGAAATTTCAGAAAAATCTAACGAACGGATACGGAGATATTCACTTGGTTCCACACTTTTGCTCATCACTGTATTAAAAAAAATTGAGATTAATTATGACGGACATGTGATAAAAGAGGAATAGTTTTGAAAATATATGATTACATAAAAATAAATCTCATTGTAATTATACTAGATTCTGGTTAGAACATAAAATATTGAATTCAAAAAGAGATAGTTGTAAACCTTGGCTGACCAAGAAACGTAATTTCAGACTAAAATACTTTTCATTTGATGAAATTGTGAATTCAACAGCAATAACTATAATAGGATTCAAATTTGAACCATTCTCAATAAACTATAATATTCTATTCGGAAACGATGAATTATGTATTATTGATTAAAAACAAGGATCATTCAAAATTGTGTTAGTTGTTTAGTAATCGAAAAAGAAAATTAGTAAGTTCCAACATATACAAATTATTTATTAATGCTCTCTAAGAACAAACAACTTAATATGTATCTACACTTAAATCATGCAGGAAACAATATAGTATACCTTTAGATCCCGAACCTGGCAGTTAAGAGATTAAAACAAATCAATTAAAAAAATAACTCAGGTTTATTCTCACCCTTTCCATATAGAATTGGAATGTGGTCTGTTGCCAAACGTGTGGCAGTTTTGATCCCCACCAAAAGTGGGGAGCCTCGTCGGGTAGCCACACATTCTCCAGGGAAGAATTTCGATTTGAAGCATAAAGCAAATGCACCTTCCTAGAAAAAAAAAAGAAGTATTGTAAAGTGAAATTGAATAGTTATTACACGGGACCTTATATCCCTCGGCTGAAGCCTCGTGGTATTATCTTTGTCCATGGGTAATAATGATATTTTTTCTGTGACGGGAAAACATTTTGGCATTCATCTCTGTTGTTGTGTTAAAATGTCACTTTTTATAAATTACTTTTTTCCCGTGGGAAAAAAGTGGGTACTTTTTTCCCGGATATATATCACATATATACAGTATGATGCAAATGTATGGAATAAATTCATTATTTCAGAAATGGGCGACATTTTAAAAAATTCCAAAAACACGTGAGGTTTCATTTTTGAAGCCTCATCTCATGATATCCATATGAGAGATGTTACGTCACCGGTGTTGGAGTAATGACGAAATGAACGATTTTTTCAAATGAAAACAGGGGTCATGTGACACCTCGTTGGTAGTTTTTATTCTTGAATATCAAATTTTTCACATGGTGTTTGTACCACATATCCACCAGTAGAAATTTCATAGATAAATATAATATTTAAAACGTTCCCAGTTTATAGGGATTACACTTTCAAAACACCTCCCTATTTACATAACAGACTAACTTTCAGAACAGATGTTCATAATCTGAATATCCGACAAAAAACCCTTCTTCGTGTGCCGAGACATGAAAAAATTATTTATAAACGCTCGTTCTCTTATGGTTTGGCAGTCTGTATCAACAATCTGCACAGATTAGATCCTTCACTGCTATCATCTTCTACCGAATCATTTAAAGTTAAATATAAAAAGTATCTTTTGTCCACGCAGAAATGATCTTACAAATCAACTAATCTTTGTTGTTACTCACTTTCCCTATCTTTTTCCTTTTTTTTCCTTCTCGCTCTCTTCTTTTTTCCTCTCTCTCTTGGTTCCTATCATTTTCTTTCAAAATATCGTTTCTTTACATTTAAATTATCATTTGCTTCTCAAATTTCTTTCTTCAATTTCACTGGCACTGGTGGAAGAACAGGGGTGGATTAGTCCACAACTGAACCAGTTATATAACCATTTATCCACTTGAATTCTGTTATATTACGTACCCTGTACTATTTAAATATTTTGTGGATAATAAATGTATTATTATTATTATTATTATTATTATTATTACAATCGCTGCAAACTTTAAATAAACGAATTTCAAGCCAGTACCTTGAATGAAATTTTTCATTGTCTAAATTTTGATCCATGTCAATGAGACTGTGGTCAGTATTTGGATGAATTGTCAATCGCGTCTGGAAAACAATATTCTTTTTCAATTTTTGGCTATGAAACATTCACCAGAAAGTCTGATATTACTACCCATTTTCCGGTGAAAAACAAAGAAAGATATATGGATGTACCATTTCCAAAACAGTTAGAAGAAGAAAGATAGGATAAGCCTTCATTTGTGTCACTGCGTGTCACTGCTTGTAGAACCGTCAAAAGAACATGGGCTATTTTATGGACCTTGTGACCATACGGTAACATTAAGTTGAAATGCGTTTGTTCATTATTCTCCATAGTTCTTCGATTTGCAGGCAACGACACCATATAGTAACAAACAAGCTTAGGAAGGGGTACAACAAATCGTTTTCGCGCCACCTTCGGCTGCCAGTTCAACTTTTTATGATTTGTGTTCGTCAAATTTTCAGATCAGGTTGCATTCATGTGTTAATATTAATGGTTAGAAGTCTTGAGTTCAATTGTTGCTATCGGAATTTTGGCGTTGGCTCCTCTGATACATTTATACAGCCATAGTCTAATGGTGGCATTATTTGAATTCGGGGCGAAACTTTGATGAACGATATCTCAGGAACGTCTTGATGTTTTCGCCTGAAATTCACCAGCAATCTAACTCTACTGACACACCACACGATGGCCTACTATGGAAGACAAATTCCAGAGCCGGACTTCGAAAACTCATTTTCTTTTTAAATGTCAAAATTTCGACTTTTTGATCAGGAAAAACACTACAAGTGTAGCTTTTCAATTTGTACGGCACACCAAATTCAGACGAATATTTCTTCGATTTCGTCGGGGCCATTATACTCTCTACATTCCACTAAAAGTATTCTAATCAGTTTTTTTGCATTTTGATGTAGCAGCAGAGTTGAGAATATTGCGTATTATCAAGTATTATTAAAGAAAAATCAGGACTGGACTTGATTTTTGGAAAGAATTACAAAATATTATAATTTTCCAAGAAGATTCGTCTGTAAATACTAATATTTTTTAACGAAGATTCTCAAAATGGCCTCCCCAATTTCTATACATTTCTGCATATCTTCGGAAGATCTCTTATGGTTTTTCGAATAATTTGACTATTATTTCTGATCATATCTGGATCTGTATCTATCCTCTTCCTCAGTTCCTTCAGTCTGATATACCAATAGTTTCATGGATAGATAGATAATGGTTCAATACTGTGAGATTAGGGGACCTAGGGGGCCAAGAATGAGGGCCGCCACGACCTATCCAGCGACTATTGTCTAGGTATTATCCCATTTGCCCCATCCCGTTAAGAGAAACTACCTATTTAGGTCCATTTTCATACAGCCATCACAGTCTTCTTCTGTAGTGTTTTCTGAATAATAAAAACACCAAACCCACAATTTGATTCGCTGATTGTAGTGTGAGTTGGCACGTATATCTGATTCGGAAAAAATATTTTACCTGAACATAATTTTTTTATATGTTTCTACCTCTTTGAGCGCACGAAAGCAAATCCCCATAATTTTCGGAGAACATCGTGCGTACTTAGGGAGGATAGGAGGTAGGTATTGGATTTTTTTTTCAAATTGGGTACTTATTTCCATGTTTTGAAAGGCCTCTTCAAGAAAGGTAAGTCCAGTCCTAGAATTTTTCATCGAATAGAGCCTCTTCTCAACTCTTATAATACACCGATATGCAAGAAATGGATTTAAATGAATTTGTTAAATGATGTGACTACAATAGCCAGTACGAAATCATGGAATCGTTCATCAGTATTTTGTTCGATATTTTCTCACCAATCCGGTCGAAGTGTGCAGTACAAATTGAAAAGCTACACTTGTAGTGTTTTTCCTGATCTTTTTGATTCTGATGAAAGTTTTTGAAAATACGATTAAGGAAGTCAAAATTTTGACATTTAAAAAGAAAATGAGTTTTCCAAGTCCGGCTCCGGAATTTTTATTCCATAGTATGCCATCGTGTGGTGGGTCAGTAGAGGTAAGTTGCTGGTGAATTTCAGACGATAACATCGAGACGTTCCTGATTTAACGTTCATCAAAGTTTCGCCCTGAATTCAAATCACCTCGATTTCCTTCATCTACCATTAGGCTATGACTGGTTAGTCATGACTCACCCTGTATATGTCCGAAACATGTACCAATTGATTTGATCGTTTGATCATATTTAAATGTCGTGAAGATCATTTCGAGTATTATTCAGAAGTAATCAGAAAAATGTCTGCAGTCCCGGGAAATTGAACCCACGACCGACAAGCCAACGCGGAGTAGAATACTGAAGCTTCGACCGCGCAGCTACCTGGCCATAAATCGAACTATTTATCTATCGAATGCAGACATTTTTCTGATGGCCCAAGAAAGTGTTTGGGATCACACGTTAAAAGGTAAGGCCCCCGAAGACTTCTGAGGGTTGCTCGTAAGGGGGCAACCGAATGTTATTGTTATTAACCATGGCGTTCCTCAAGGAAGAATTTTAGCTCCACTTTTTTCAATATTTAAATGAATGACTTACTACAAATGAATTCAACTGGTACTATACATTCTTTCGCAGATGATACTGTTATCTTTTACTCTGCGAAAGATTGGTGTGAATCGAAAAGCAATGTAATCAATGATTTTCGCGTAGCGCCGAAGTGAACTAATATCTCGAGACAGTGATGTAACTTTCCACCGAGGTTTGTTTGCTATTTTATTTACAACTATGATCTTCTAAACAAAAATTCGGAAAAAAGCAAATTTTTCATTATTTTTTCTCAAACGTCATCAATAAAATTACAAAGACAACCATAGAAAGATGATGACAACTAACAACAAATAACCCATTTTCCCAATAGTGAGTAGGCGAAAATTTGTTCCTGTCGTTTCTAAGGTGTTTAATAAACACTTCAAATTTGTCAGCTCTTGTCAGTGTCTGGACCGTGTAATTTAATTTATTTATAAAATGTCGGATATAGAGATGGAGTGCACAACGCCAGACATAAGGGAAGCAGCGGAGAAAGCTGAAGAAGATCTTCTGCCCCAAAAAAGTAGACGTAGGTATGAAAAAGCATATAATACGTACAGAGATTGGTGCGCCAAAAAAGGGGTCACAAAAGCTGCATCGGAAAACATCGTTTTTGCCTACTTCAGTGAAATGGCTAAGACTAAGAAATCGTCAACCTAAAGAACTTAAGAAGTGCTAATGTTGTCAAGTGTGCTTATAAGTCTCAATAAAATCAAATAGGTAAATGAACTTTTTATACAAAAAACTTAAAAAAGACATATTCTCTCAAAATAAACAGAAAAAAATCCTCTCACGGGTGGAAAATTTCCCACCCACGGGTGGAAAAAGTGAAAGTAGATAATATATCAGTTTCAGACTTTTTAAACGTCAGTAATGATGACATTACATATACAGTCTGTCCAAGATAAGGTTGAGCAGCATGGGGATCTCGGAAACGGTAGGAGATACGAAGTCGCTTAAATGGGGAAAAAGTTGCGCATTCGGAGGTTCATATCAAGAGCCTTCGAAAATTTTGAAAATTATTTTTAGTTTTTGAGTTATATCGAAAAAAGTGAATTTTTGGAATTTCTATTTTTTTTTTTTTCTCCGTTATTATCAGAGATACAGAAAAACTGAAAATACTTTTTCATTGCAACTTTTGATGAGGTTTAACGTGGTGATACCGATTTTTTTATGCGACGTTTCGTATTCGTGGAACCATCATCAACTTTTGTTTTTTAAATACGGTCCTGATAATTTTTTCACAGATTCTGAAAGGTTTTTTTATTCTGAATTCAACAATGTACTATACAAGGTGATTCGAATGTGTTTCGACCTATTTCTATCCATCATCAATGTTTTTTAGAACTTCCAAAAGAAAAAAAGCCATCAGTTCCACTTATTTCTTATCATTTAGTGTCAAACTTGATGGATTAGTTATTCAATACTGAAAAGTGAATAAAAAATATTTCACCACATCATTCGATCAATGCAGCGTTTAAAATTGTTGATGAATTCTTACACGAATTACTTTAACAACTTAACTTTGACAATACCTACAGAGACATTCATAACAAATGTTCAAAATGATAACCATTATTTTCTGAACAAAGATATCCTCTTCTCACAGTTGTTTCTAAGACATTGCTAAGCATTTCTGGGGTTATTCTATGAATGCTTCGAAGACACTGTCCCTTAGTTCTTCTTCATCCTCAAAGTTATTTGCGTGTACAAAGTTCGATATATCCCCTAAGAAAAAATCCAGCTGTGTCAAATCAGGCGACCGCGTCGGCCAAGGGATAAAAACGCACGGACTTCTCTGGAATTATGTACCGGAGCGCCATCTTGTTGAAACCAACAGAGTTCTGAACTTCCGCAATCGGTAAATCATCCAGAGCTTCCTCAAGATGATTCTCAAGCGAATTTCTATAACGTTCGGAAGTCTGTGTTTCATGGTAAATAGAAGGAACAATAATTCGTGTACCAAATATTGCAACCCACATATTAAAGCCGAAACGGTGTTGGTGTCTCGCTGTAATGTATAAATGTTCATTTTCTCGTGAACAATAATGTGTATTAGTGACCATGCTTTCATCAGTCCAGATGATTGTTCGAAAGAAATCTGCAAAATTTTAACATTTCCTGGTATACCACTCACAGAATGTCTTGCGCCTTTCGTCATCGCCTGGTTTTAGCGCTTGACATATTCTGAATTTGTATGGATGGAATTTTTGTTTCCGCAAAATGAAATGGGTTGTTGATTGAAACCAGTTGATGAGGTATTAGTGTGCTGACTAATTTTCCTTCAAAATAAGTGGAACTGATGGCATTTTTCCTTTGAAGTTTCGAAAAAACATTGATGATGGCCAAAAATAGGTCGAAACACAAATGAACCACCTTGTATAATACATGGTTGAATTCAGAATAAAAAACCTTTTAGAATCTGTGAAAAATTATCAGGACCGTATTTAAAAAAAAAAAGTTGATGATGGTTCCACGAATACGAAACGTCGCATGAAAAAATCGGTATCACCACGTTGACCGTCATCAAAAGTTGCTATGAAAAAGTATTCTCAGTTTTGCTGTATCTCTAATAATAACGGAGAAAAAAAAGAAAATAGAAATTCCAAAAATTCACTTTTTTCGATATAACTCAAAAACTAGAAATAATTTTCAAAATTTTCAAAGGCTCTTGATATGAGCCTCCGAACGCGCAACTTTTTCCCCATTTAACCGATTTCGTATCTCTTACCGTTTTCGAGATCCCCATGCTGTTCAACCTTATCTTGGACAGACTGTATACTTGTAAATAAACGCTTTTGAATAAACTTATATTATTATTATTATTAGAAAGCAAAAATCCCACTCACCAACTGCTGCACGACGCACTCCACCAACTCCCTGAACGAAAAATCAGGGTGCTCCTTGTAGAAATGGTAGACCAGCTTGGCGATCACCTCCGTGTCGGTGTCGCTCTCGAACCGATGACCCTTCTTCTGCAGAAACACCCTCACCTCCTTATAGTTGGTCACGATGCCATTGTGGACAACGACGAAGCCGTTGCCCTCGTCGGACCTGTGGGGGTGGCTGTTCACCTCGTTGGGCACCCCGTGGGTGGCCCATCGGGTGTGCGCCAGACCGCAATGGACGTCCAATGATCGCGACATGTCCAGTTCATTGCTCCCTATGCAAAGACGATTTTTTTAAATTTTTTCATTTTTTAACCCCCTTGAAAAAAAAAAAATGGGTACGCCCATGGAATTATTTTTTCAATTTTTTTCAAGGAACGCAGCGTAGGAGTAATAAATTTACACATTTTTCATCTTGGACCAGTTCAAAAGAATCGGAAACGCCTATGATCGCGACATGTCCAGTTCATTGTTCCCTACGCGAAGACAATTTTAACATTTTTGACTTCCTTGGAAAAAAATCGGAGTTACGATTTCTATATTTCAAGGGATCACGGCGTAGATGTTTCGAAAATTACCCATTTCAATTAATTTGGGATTGTACCGATAAAATTCCGAAATTTTTACACTTTTTATTTAAGACCTCTCCGAAAAAAGAATCGGATGAGCCAATGAAGAAACAATTTCGATTCTTTTTTGGATTATTGTGATGAAACTTCCACGATTTTTATATTCGAGCCCTCCAAATAGAAAAATCAGATACGCCCATGAAGTCGCAATTTCAAAACTTTCGAATTATTCTAAACTCAAACATTTTTCATCTTTGACATCTTGAAAAAAAATCAGGTATGCAAATTAAGTCACAATCCTGATTTTTCTAGGATAAGCAAAGAAATCTCGAAACTTACACATTTTTTTATTTTTGATCATTCTTGAAAAAAAAATCAGATATGGACACCCATGAGAATTTCAGAAATTCCCATATTTCAATTTCGACCGTTTAAAAAAAATCAGTTACTCCAATGTACTCACAGCTTTTGTATTTTTTCAGATAGTTTCAAAGTTCTCACAATTTCTATTCTTGATCCCTTTGTTTGAAATTCCCATTTATTATTTTTGACCACTTCGGAAAAGAAGCCGGGTACGCTCATAAAATCATGTTTTTTTATTTCTGATAGCTTGTGGAGAAAGGATGTACAGGCTGTCCCATTTTCGTTCAAAGATAGAGGTTCGCGGTTTTCGCGAATGTTGGATACTGTTTTGTGAAACTCACGATACCTCAAACAAAATATTCATAGCCCGGGACCCCCTTGTATTTCAGCCATCTTATCGGAAAAGTAAAAACTTTTTCTCATACATGTTTGACCGTGAAATCCAGTGGCGAAGTCAGATTTTCAGAATAAGCTGTTATTATTCAGATTCAACCCATAGTTATGTTTTTCAAATGGAACACCCTGTATATTTTTTCATTGATGCTTTGCGCTTTCCAAAAATATATAACACTTATAAGATTTTTCAAGTGTTAGCCATGACTTAATTTCTAGTTTTTCAGTAGATTTTTTATCGATGGTGTTTGTAAATATGTGGCAACATTGTCCATTTCACAGATTCTGATATTTGCCTTGTTGATGATATAGTGTTCCGTCACACACTAGCTTCACTTTTACCAACATTCAAAATTTACCAATATTCAGCACTATTTATTGACTATAAAAGCTGTGAACCTAATTAGTAGGTGTGTATCTATAAGAAAAAGGCGAGTGCAGAATGTTTTATAATCTTTGTCATCGAATTTACAAATTTTTCATATAGCGACAAATAATAATCAAGGATATCAAAACTGCGAAAATTTAGAAAGCAACTTAAATCCCTACCATAACTAATTTTTCCTTGTTTTCATATCCCAGATTAGTATTTGCTAGTGTCCCTTGATGAAAATTGACGTATTTGCCATCTTAACGGGTACGGACAGATCATAGCTCCTTTCTCTTTTAATGATGGAGTGACTTTGGTTTTGTGTATTGGCGTCCCTGACATTGCTGTCACGTCACATCCATAGGCGCTCCAAGGAATCTTACAAAATTTTAATTAGTACTCAATCTTAATACGACATTATTCAATGGGGGAGACCACTGATTTTTCAAAACGACATTATCGTGTACTCTATACTGAAAAACTACCAGCGAATTAATTTTGAATTTTGTCATTCATGCTAAGACGATGAAAACAATAAATTAGAATATGTCCATTTCAAAGCACACAATTCCTGCGCCATTTGAAATTTTGTCAATTCATTGGTGTGACTGGTGCGACGTCTTAGTCCCAACACGCCTATTGTCCTTGAACTGACCAATCACACTGCAATACTGCAGAATGACGAGGTATCAGAGAGAGATAGCTACAGGTTGGGACTAATACGTCACGGCTCCACCATCATATTTGGCTGTTTGAAATATCGAATGAAATATGCTGATTTCAAAACTATATAGATTCGATTCCCTTCAACTTCAACTCATAATATTTATTGTACATCAAACGTAACTCATGATTCGTCGATTAAAAGAGGTTTGCACGGATTTCTTCTCAGTGGTCTTCCCCATTCTGTTTTGGAAGGATGGTAAGATGTGCTGCGAGGCAATCAATTATTTCCAACAAATGCAAATGAACTTATAACATGGGAAGTGAAGAGACCAAATTTGGAAAATCGGCGAATACATCAGCAAAATATGCGAAGTAGGACAACGAAATAACATATTATACTTTTTCATTGTGCCTAATCATCCACACTACAAGTTTTTGAATGCATTTTAGTAGAAAGAGTTTAGATTTAAACGGAGGATTATAAGAAGAGGCATATGCCCTTCCATTTAAAAAATCATACCTACATTCAGAAAATATAAATGTAATTTCAATAATGATATACCCAACATGAATATACAGGGTGTCCGCTAAAAGGAGGTCAATCCATTAACCATATATTCCTTGAACAAAAACAATATCAGTTTCTAAATACCATTTTTCATTTTAGCCCTTCATATTCGATATACAAAGTTGGAAACTAAAAACTGTTTTTTTTTTAATTACTTGCGTTTTTAATAAGATATTGATCTCAAAATTGGTACATTACTTCAGCACGAAGAGTTACATCGTGTGAGAACAAAACAGAGAATAACTGTCAAATATTCGAAATATACTGGGGGTCAATTACACACTTACCCCCATATTTTTTTTGTACGTGCGCTAATGACTTTCTGTCTATTTTTCTCCAAGTGTTCAATCATTTTTAAGTCTTTTTTGTTTCTCGTAAAATTTCGATAAAATTATTTGTTTTAAGGATAATTCGAAAAGTACTAGTTATTGTTTGATGCCTATGTGGCTTATGGTAATCTCATAAGCGAACATTATGACTCCTATTTATTTCGTCGAAATTGGAAGAGGGCGTAACTTTCTACGGACGGAAAGGTAAATATAGAAATACCGGGTGTTCATAGCGAATGTATTAAGATAATTTTTACAAAAAAAAATTGATTTAGACGTGTTAAATTTCTATCAATTTTTTTTGTAAAAATTATCTTAATACATTCGCTATCAACACCCGGTATTTCTATATTTACCTTTTCGTCCGTAGAAAGTTACGCCCTCTTCCAATTTCGACGAAATAAATAGTATAGTATAGGAGTCATAATGTTCGCTTATGAGATTACCATAAGCCACATAGGCATCAAATAATAACTAGTACTTTTCGAATCATCTTTAAAACAAATAATTTTATCGAAATTTTACGATAAACAAAAAAGACTCAAAAATGATTGAACACTTGGAGAAAAATAGAAAGAAAGTCATTAGCGCACGTACAAAAAAAATATGGGGGCAAGTGTGTAAGTGACCCCCACTATTTTGAATATTTGACAGTTATTTTCTGTTTTGTTCTCCTCACACGATGTAACTCTTTGTGCTGAAGTAATGTACCGATTTTGAAATTAATATCTCATCAAATACGCTAGTAATTAAGAAAAATCAGTTTTTAATTTCCAACCATATCGAATATGAAGGGCTAAAATGAAAAATGGTATTTAGAAACTCATATTGTTTTTGTTCAAGGAATATATGGTTAATGGATTGACCTCCTTTCAGCGGACACCCTGTATAAACTTCTATTCTATTCTATTCTATTCTTAAATATACAGCACACATGACATATGAACACATTAGTTTGAATACCTACATCAGAGTTTTGACCATTTGAACAGTCCCATTTGGTAAAACATATTAAAATTTCCAGAAAATGTTATGCTCACTGCCTCACAAAAATTATGTTGGAAGAATCAAAAATTATTGATCATCATTTGGATATAATATGTAGAGTTGAATCAGGAATGCCATGTGGAGATTACGTATGATACGCCAATGTCCTCTATATAACCTAAAAAGCAACAAACGTCAGAAATCTAGTGTTTATCCCCAGAAATGAATAAATATGGTACTATATAACTGTTTCACAAACACTTTAGAGTGAGAGAAGACGAGGATCTGTCCGTACCCTGTTAAGATGACAAATACGTCAATTTACATCAAGGGACCCTAGTATTTGCCAAAGTATGAAAAATTTTTCAATTCGACAGGTAGGTGACAAGGATTAAGAAACAGTCCACACTCGCTTTTTTTCATAGCCACCTACTAATAAGGCCCACAGCTCTAAGAGTCAATAAATAGTGCTGAATATTGGTAAATCTTGAGTGTGGAAAATTGAAACTAGTGTATGACGAAACATTGTGTCAGCAATAAGGTAAACATGAAAATGTATGATATGGACAATGTTGCCACATATTTACAAGACCCATCGATGAAAAATGTACTGAAAAACAAGAAATTATCTAAATTCATGGCTAATACTCAAAATAGCATCAAGCGATGAGCATCATTGTTTTGAATATGGAAAAATATATATAAATATTCATTCCAAAAAATATACTTCTGAATAATAATAGTGTATTTTGAAAATCAGACTACGCCACTGGATTCAATGTGAAACATTGTATGGAGGACAGTTTTTACTATTTCGATAAGTTGAAAGATAGCTGAGATACAGGGGTGTGCCAAAATGCAACATTTTTTCAATTTCGCCCTGTATCTCAAAAACGAGGCGAGTTATAAACATTTTGTTTGCGGTATCGTGACTTTCACGAAAAAGTAGCCAACGTTTGCGAAAACTGCAAATCAGTATCTTTGAAAATGAGTGAGATATCCCATCCCTATTTTATTTTTGTACCATTTGGAGGAATATCGAGTACGCCCATGGAGCTGATATTTTGATTTATCCACGATACAATATCGATATTATGAAGATGACGATATAACTTAGAGCTTTCTTTTCTTCCTCAAAAATATTATATGCATCTAGTTTCATTATTTCATCAATCAATTATGATACAATGGCTAAGATTTGAAAAGTGTGTCGACCGAGCTGAACCCACGAATCAACATTATTATGTAACAAAGTATGTCATAGGTACTCGTATGCAATGTGTAATAGAGCATGACTCACTGTTTTCGATTTCTTGCTGGAGCAGAGCTACTTTTCCAGTTTTTTTGATGATGGCTATATCCTTGTTTATGGGCCCATCGATGGCAACACCTGTCAAGAAAATTTCGATATTAGTTAGAATGCAAGAAACTTCGAAGACTCTGGTAATGGTCACTAGATGGTATTAGTTAGATAAGAGTTCGGACACAGAAATGACAACTGTTTGTGTTTTCGAATGTTTAGATTTATCAAGTTACACACCTGGCATTCTGACAATCGTGATATTCTTTCATTCTGAACTAACTGGCACATTTCACTTGGACTTTTTTTTTATCGCTTGGAGCGCACGACAGGGAATCCCTATAATGTTCAAAGAACATCGTGCGTTCCTAGGGAGGATAGGGATAGGAGGTAGGTATTGGAATTTTTTTTGAACTTCTGGAGATTATATGTTGTTGACATGCATGAAAGTCATTCGAAAGAACGATTCAGTTCAGTTCTAGTGAAATATTTCAGTTAGTTCAGATTGAAAGAATATTACTAATAGCATCATAGTCGTTCCGCGTTCCCGAGGGAAATAAGTAATTTATGAAGAAAAGTGACATTTTATAATCTGCCAACAGAGATGAAATTTCATACTTTCTTCCCATCACAGAAAAATAAATATTATTTCAATATATTTGTAGTAAGGACAAATCAGGAGATTTACCTCAAAATGTCACTACATTCAAAATTTGACTATTAGAAACCTAAAAGAGAAATTCAATCGAAAGTCACCTTGTTTGAAAACTTGAACTTGAAAATGAAGGAGAGGAATACTGAAAATATTTAAAAAATGTCAATTCCTTACTCTTATTCGGACGTTTCGGGAACGAATCTGTTCTCGTTTTCAACACGAAAATGGAAAAAACTATGTTCTTTGTTTATTGACAACTCTTCTCAGAGGCAGAAAAAGTCGCAGGATGTTTTTATTAATGATCAAACATGTGGTATACCGAAAAAAAAAAAAAGGTTTCCGTGAAACAATTTGATGCTAAAGAAATTAATGTCAAATGGATATACATGGGGTGAACGAATACACGCGAGATAATTTAGAGATTCATTCCTCGGTTGATTTCCTCTCATATTTAATGGAAAAAAGTGCAGACAAACACTTGTCCTAATTTACTTTATTTTCGAGATACGGGGAATGAATGTTTTCATAAAAACTCGTTTTTTCATTCATTATTGCTCACAAGTATTTTTGTCAATTTCAATGAAACTCGGTGGTATTGTTAGAAGACATTTTTTTTGGTGTAAGTGTCAGTAGGTAGGTTGCGTTGCGTTCGGCCCAATTTTCGATTTATCCAATTTTCGAATGGGCCAATTTTCGATTGGGCCAATTTTCAATTCACCCAATTTTCGATTCGCCCGTGTAACTGCTAGAGGCGGAGAAAAATTCAATTTCCTCTTTACCCATAGCCGTAACTCCACCTAGCGGTTATTTTAGGAACCTGAAAATATTTTTCAGCTATTTTTTAGGGTAGGTTTTGTTTTCTAAGTGTATCATTATTCGTTGCTGAGATATGGCCGACGGCCCTTCTTGTACCTTGTACTCTATGGCTGCCCCGCCGCGGCTCGAATCAACTTGTTGCTCATTGGCAGGGTTTCACTCTCGCCCTCGGACCTGAAAGATCACTAAACTAATCGGCTTCATTCCGAAGCTGGATCTACCGTTACGCTATAAGCGCTTGTCGTTTCGAGCCGCTGGTTAGGCCTCACTAAGTGACGTCACCCACGGAGCATGCAGGCCTTGTTGTATCGGTGGTAACGGATCTACTCGGTGTATGAATCGGTGTGAGCCACAATAGACCCTTACGGATCGCAGTGGAGGGCTGGATAGACCCACTCACTCGCTCACTCACGTGATCTAACTAACCTAACTTAGTCACCAACCAGACTGAATTTCGTCACTATAGAAGCTACAGGGGATCATAAAAAAGCATCAATTACTTCGACCTCCAACATCCTGTATCTCAAAAACAAAGCAAGGTAGGACACATGTTTATATGACTGGGATTATTGCTTATTGCACTATTGTCAAACAAATGACGTAAGTATTCGTACTAACTACAAACTACAATTTATAACAAATTGTTGAGAATAATGAACACTCCTAATTTTTCCAAATCCTGAAAGGATTAAATTGAATAAATATCTCTAATTTATATACCAATGATTATAAGATATCAAATTTTGATTAAGTCTAGGAAAAGATAACATTTGAAACAACTGAAAAAGAAGATCTCACATTTCATCAATGAATTCGAATATTGTAGTCTTCTTATGAAACCATTCACTTGTTCACTCCAATTCTTCTGTTTCAAATTAACTGATTAGATTTCACTTGGAACGTTATTATTCGTTTAGGAGAAAATATGTTACGAATTCAAACCTTCAAACAATATCATTCTTTTTATAGCATGTATTTATTGATCTCAGAGAACTCAAACATGTTGATGCCAAACGAAGTATTCCTTTATTTGTCTCTCAATAAAAAAAATATGAGAAACCAAAATAAAATGAGAGCATGAAAATATATTTACTCAAGAAATTATTTTCACCCGAACAATTATTTAAATATACATACTATAATAATTCAACAGTATCAGACATTATTTATTTAATTAATCCCACGAACATTTGTTCTTTATTTTTTATTTTTGTTTCAAAGATTAGTGAGATTTTGTCAGCTTTTTAGATAAGCGAAAAATCACCGGAATTGTGCAATGATCCTAATCAATACCTATATTTCAAAATATTACCTGCCGAGTCATATCCTCGATACTCCAACCTCTTTAATCCATTTACAAGAAATTCCAAAATTTCCTCACGCTTCTTCGGCGTCAGGTAATTCAAGTATGCAAAAATTCCTGAAAAAAAAAAGAAACGTTATGTAGAAAAGTATTAAAATGATGCTCTGTTTAATAGTTTAATCGAATATTTTCATTTTCCGGATTGTCCCAATGTTATTTCGGCCTACAAGTATTGACTTTTACAGGGTGTTTCAAAAAAACCTAGCCCCCTTGCTAGGGTAGGTAGACCACTTCAAAATAAGTTGGGTTTGCTCAGTGAAAAAATGTCGTAACGGCATTCGTTTTGAAAATTTGATTTTTTTACACATTTTTCACTATTATGTCGAAACTACTGGCAACATTGTAGTGAAATTTGATGTGAATGTTTCTTGAAATCTGTCACATCACATGAATTTGTTTTTATATCTGACTCTCATAGAGGGCGCTAGTTACAGGTTTCATACCGAGTAGTTTAGAACGTACCTTTTTTGAGGTTCTATTTTTCAATCTAAATATGATATGAACTTGAACATCATTCAATTTTACACCAATAAGATACGCCTAGTGAAACTCGATACTATGGTACGTTTTCGGAATATTTCGATTTGAAAATAATGGAGTAATAGCTGATGCTGGTATAAAATGAATTTTATTGAGTTCAATTACCTATTTATTCAGATGCAAAAACGATATAAGTATTCTTGTGTTGAAGTTATTGATGGAACAAAGAATCATAAGTAGAAAATTGAGAGATATTTGATTTGAAACATGAAATATTGAATCAGTAAGAGTAAGTGTTCAAAAATGTCCTACGTTTCGAAGAAAAAACGATTCTATATCATTTTCATAAGAATTTATTATTCTTCTTAACAGTTGAGGATCAGCTGTTAGGTCATTCTAGGGATGTTCAATTATGTCTTACAACTCTGGACGTGAATTTACCTATGTAGCATAGACTTTCTGCTCAAGATACAACAAAAGTGTGTGATACATGTTCTTAGTCAAATCTGTTTCGATGTTATTCTTGTGATTCATTGTTAAATCAATGAGTTCAGCATTAGAAATGTATTTTTGTTTTCGGTTCTCAATAAATAGGTGATAATTTTTCATAATAATCACTCTAATACATAGCTTCATACCAGCAACAGTTTTCACTTCATCGTTTTCAAATCGAAATATTACGAAAACGGAACACAGTATCGAGTTTTACCAAGAGTACCTTTTTGGTGTGGGATTGGATGATGTTCAAGTTCACATCAAATTTGGATTGCAAAATCTAACCTCAAAAAAGTTATGTTCAATGTAATGTATTGAAATGGCCCTGTATTTCATTCCAGCTCTTTTTGCTATTTGTCACAACAAAAAGATGTACGTTTTTTATGTAGTAAAAAACCTATTCATATAGATATACATTTATAGCTAGTTAGTCTTGTTCTTAACGGGAATGTAATAAGGTGCCTAACATAATATTATAATATACCGAATTATTAAAATACAGACGGGTGTTTATATAATCCTTCACCCGCCGTACATAATAACTGGCGACGAGGATGTAGGATTTATGAAGTGTTAGTGCGAGCATAGATTAATTAATCTATGGTGCGAGTAAATAGAGGGACTCAGAAAATCAGTGAAATATTTTTCTGTGTTCTGGTCTGCTAGTGAATTAAGCAGTAGTTTATAACTTACTGAACATTTTGGATCAGATTATCCAAATACATAATTTACTGAACATTTTGGATCAGATTATCCAGATACAGTGAATAAGATAGATCAAAGATAACAAAATGGCAACCAGTTATATTGGCCATTTGAATCGTTTTGATCATGTCTCGTCAAACTGGAATATATTTTTAACGCAGTTGAAGCAATACTTCAAAATAAATAAAATCGCGGATGATATAAAAAAAGACCTACTTTTGAATTCGCTAAGTGAACAGACTTATAAATTAGTGATAAATTTGTGCATGCCGGATTCTCCAGACGCAAAAAACTTTGACGCTTTAATAGCTTTATTGGACAAACATTTCAGTCCAATAACATCATTTCACAGTGAACGTATGAAATTTTATAGTGCCAGACGCGAACAAAAAGAATCGGTGATGGACTTTGCAACACGATTGAAGTACTTAGCAGGCAATGCTAATTTTGGCGTAGAGTTACCAACTGTTTTGAGAGATATATTGATTTTGGGGATTGGAAAAGGTCCCATTCAAGATCGATTGAAGGAAGAAAACAGTAATGTAACTTTCGAGAAAGCCTTAGAAGTTGCCTTGGGAAAGGAGCAAATCCAAAAGGAGGCGGAGTTGTCCAGTTTCCCAACCATCAAGGTGGAGCCTAATGTAGATACCATACATCAATTGAATTCCAGAAAATATCCCCAATCCAGGGGGAGCGGTAAGGATGGTGCAGGATCGAGTAGCGGCGGGAGCGGCAGCGCGGGACCAAGTCGCTGTCAAATTTGTGGTAGGAAAAACCACGAAACAAGTAGGTGTTTTTTTCGTGATTATAAGTGCAATAAATGTGGAATAAAGGGGCACTTAGCCCCAATGTGCAAGAAGTATAAGGATAATATAAATAGTAATTCAATGAAACGAAATTATTTCGTAGAAACAGAAAACTTTGAAGAAGATTTTTTTCATATACATGAAGAAAATAAAATTTACATTAATGAAAATCCTACGCAGATTTCATTGAAGGTAGAAAATAATTGGATTACGTTTGAAATCGATACCGGATTTGCTTTCTCAGCTATTTCTAAAGATCTGTTTCTAAATAAATTTGGACACAGGAAATTATTGCCCACTGACCTTCATTTGAAAGATTACGTAGGACATTCATTCAGTCCAATTGGCAAGGTGCATTTGAGTTTCGTGTACAATAATATTGTTGATGTATTAGAAACGTATGTAATCGAAAAGGGTGGACCACCCTTACTTGGTAGAAATGGGCTAAAAAAATTGAATTTAGGTATAGTACCTTTGAACTCGATCAATTGTCATGACAAACTGTCCGATATTTGTGAACTATATTCAGAAATATTTAGTAATGAATTGGGATTATTAAAAAATTATACTTTAAATATAACTGTGAAAGAGGGATCTTCACCAAAATTCTATAAACACCGCACCTTGCCATATGCATTGAAGCACAAGGTGGAATCTGAAATTTCTAGGTTAGTATCTTTGGGTATATTGAGACCAGTGGAATATTCGGACTGGGCAACCCCAATTGTCCCAATTTTAAAATCTAATGGTACGGTAAGGATCTGTGGGGATTTTAAAATAACCTTAAATCCCGTTCTGGATTCAATCAGTTATCCACTACCTAGAATACAGGATTTATTTGCAGAATTACAGGGTGGACATAAATTCTCAAAGATTGATTTGAGTCAGGCGTATCAACAAATCGCAGTAAGTACGGAAAGCACCAAATTGTTGACAATTTCAACGCACAAGGGGTTGTTTTGTTATACCCGGTTGCCGTATGGCATCACTAGTGGGCCAAGTATATTTCAGAAAATTATTGAAAATATTTTAGTAAATATACCTAGAGTGGTAGTATTCATTGACGACATACTTATTTCAGGGGTAGATGAAGCAGATCACATCAAAAATTTAGAATCTGTTTTCAAAATATTGAAAGAGAATGGTTTGAAAGTACAAAAAGAAAAATGTGATTTTTTTCAAGATAAAATTGAATATCTGGGACATGTAATAGATAAATATGGTTTACATAAGTCAAAAAAAAATATTGAGGCTATTAAATTGGCACCATCTCCCAAAAATGCCACTGAACTTAAATCTTTTTTGGGGATGGTTACTTTTTATATTAAATTCATTCCCGATGCCGCTACAATATTATATCCTTTGTACGGGTTATTAAAGAAGAACACAACATTTGTATGGAAGCCGGAATGTCAAAATGCATTCGAACAAATTAAATTAGAATTGATTTCGGAAAGAGTTCTAACTCATTATGACCCGGAAAAAGAAATAAAACTGACAGTTGATGCTAGTTCATATGGCTTAGCTGCGGTCATCAGTCATCCGAATGACAATGATAATCCCGATAGTCCAATTGCATTCGCATCTCGAGTATTAAATGATACTGAAAGGGCGTACAGTCAGTTAGATAAGGAAGCGTTAGCTGTCAAGTGGGGGGTGGCCAAGTTCCATGAATATTTATATGGTCGTCATTTTACACTTATATCTGATAATAAACCTATTATAAACACTTTTGGGTCTAAAAAAGGAATTCCTCTAATCGCAGCAAACAGATTACAAAGATGGGCTCATTTTTTAGCAGCTTATGATTTTGAGATTCAATATGTAAAGTCCGACAAAAATATAGCGGATGGTTTGTCACGGCTTCCTGTACAAACTCAAGAAATAGAGGATCCACTAAATAAGGTTTCCTATATTAATTATGTTCAAGAATTTTTGCCCATTAACTATCAAGATATTCGGACTGCTAGTAGTAGGGATTCAATTTTATCTAAAGTAATTTATTATGTTCAGCATGGTTGGCCAAATGTTAAATTATCAAATGAATATTTACCATTTACCAGGCGTAAGAACGAATTATCAGTCGAAAAAGGTTGTCTTATGTGGGGGTATAAAGTAGTAGTACCCGAAAAATACCGAAACTTAATTTTGAACGAATTACATGACTCCCATATGGGAATGGTGAAAATTAAATCTCTTGCTCGTTCTTATGTTTGGTGGCCTTCAATAAACGAAAATATTGAAGAATTAGTGAATAATTGTAAGATATGTCAAAAATTCAGCAAAAATCCAGAAAAGAGTATTTTAAAGCCTTGGGATTATACAAACGATTGTTGGTCAAGACTGCACATAGATTTTTTTGGACCTTTATATAATTATTACTTTTTGGTATTAGTGGATTCCACATCTAAGTGGATTGAATGTTATAAAATGAAAAAAATCACATCTTCAGCTACAATTAATAAACTAAGAGACATTTTTTCAAAACTGGGTTTGCCAAAATTACTGGTGAGTGATAATGGCCCTCAATTTTTATCAGATGAATTTTCACATTTTCTTAAAATGAATGGA